TCAATTACGCTGCAATCTAACCTTTAATAATGGACTTTTAAAATCTTACTGACAACCAAGGTGAGGCACCCCCAGTTTCCTCTTTTCTGCCTTCCTCCCTTCTTAAACAGGGGTGTTACTTTGGCCATTTTACAGTCCTCAGGCATCCTCCGACTTCAGAACTCATGTGAAAGATCATCCCCAGTACCTCTACAATCTCTTCAGCTATCTCCTTCAGAACTCTGGAGTGTAGCATATCTGGTCCGGGTGATTTATCTACCTTCAGACCTATCAGTTTCCTCAGCATCTTCTCCTTAGTGATGGCCACTACACTCACCACTGATCCCTGACTCTCGAAGTTCTGGTATGCTGCTGGTGTATTCCACTGTGAAAACTGATGCAAAGTACCTATTCAACTCTTCCATTATTTCTTTGTTCCCCATTACTTCTTCTCTAGCCTCATTTTCGACTCTTGTCTCTCTGTTATGTCTTAGACTTCTAAAAGAACTCTTTGAATCTTCTTTTATATTACTAACTACCTTAATTTCAGTTTTATCTTCTCCTCCCTACTGCTTTTTTTTTTAAGGTAGGAGCATATTACTGCAGATGCTGGAATCTGTACTGAAAACAAAAAATACTGGAGATCATAGCTGGTCAGGCAGCATCCACGGAGAGAAAGGTAACGTTCGAGGCCAGATGATTCTTCATTACGTCAGAGCTGACATGAAATGTGGAGGGGCAGCATGTATGCAGTAATGAGGATGGGAGGGTGGAGTACTGGGAATAAAAGGATGTTGATAGTTCAAATTAAGTAATTGGAATGTGAGAATGGTGTGTCTAACTGGCAGACTGGAAAGTGCAGACAGTCCCTTGGGGTTGGGGAAGGGAAAAGATGATGGACAAGGTTACAAAGAATGTAACAAGTAAAGCTAAATGAAGGGGGCAGAATGAAAGTGGGTTCACAATTTAAAGATGTTGAACTCAATATTAAGTCCAAAAGGTTGTAAGGTGCCTAGTCTGAAGATGAGATGTTGTTCCTCTAGCATGCGCTGTGATTCACTGGAACACTGCAGTATGCCGAGGACAGACAAGTGGGCATGTGAGCAAGACGCTGTGTTAAAATGACCAGCTATGGGAAGGTTAGGGTCATGCTTGCGCACGGAGAGGAGGTGTTTTTTTTTAAGTTATCCTCTGTTGGTTTTTAAAACTGTCCCAATCCTCTGGCCTCCTGCGAATCACCGCCATGTCGTATGGTTTATTCTCTTGCTTTTCTGCTAACCCTAACTTCCCCTGTCAGGCATGGCTGCCCCATCCTCAAGCTGTTTCTTCATCATTAGGATGAATTTCTGTTGTACCCCCTGAATTACCGCCAGAAACCCCTGCCATTACTGCTCCACCATCTTCCCTGCTACTCTCTCCTTTCAATCAACTCTGGCCAGCTCCTCCCTCACATCTTTATCGATACCTTTACTCAATTGTAATACTGTTGATGGCTGATTCCAGCTTGTCCCTCTCAAATTGCAGATGAATTCTTTCATATTATAATCACTGCCCACTGGAGGTTCCTTCACCTTAAGGTCCTTAATCAAGTCTGCCTCATTACTCATCTCCAAATCCAGAACTGCCTGTTCTGTAATGGGCTCTATCACAAGCTGCTCCAAAAATCCATCTCATCGAAATTCCACAAATTCCTTTTCTTGAGATCTACTACCAATCTGATTTTGCCAGACCACTTGCATTTTGAAGTCCTCCATGATTATTGTAACAGTGCCTTTCTCATATGCCTTTTCTATCACCCGATTTATTTTCTTCCCCACATCCTGACTACTGCTAGAAGGCATGTACACAATTCCCATCAGCATCTCTTTACTCATACAGAGTCTATGCCTTCCGACTCCCTATCACTTCTTGCTATTGATTTAATTTCATTCCCTACTAACAAAGCAATGCTGTCCCCTGTGCCCATCTGCCCATCCTTTCAATAGGACATGTATCCTTGGATATTTAATTCCCAGCCCTGATCCCCTTTCTGCCACATCTCTTTGATACCCACACGACCACTTTAACCTGCACGACAAGCTCATTTACCTTAATTCACAAACAGCCAGTATTTAAGTACAATACCTTCAGTCCTGCATCGATTGCCCCTTTCTCATAACTGTTCCCTCATCCACTGGGCCAACTTATCCCATAGTTTTCCATGTAACTGAGCACCCCCACCCCCCAATATTTAGTTTAAACCCCTAATCACTTTGAAGTATACAATTCAATTCAGACCAAGTGTCTCATTTGCCAGGTTTACTTTTCTTGTCTTTTCTTTCTGGGCTAGCTCGTCCATGGAATTAAAAGTGACAAACAAGTTTGAGAACATACTGGCTTAATCTCAAGCCGTTGCTAGGAAGAGATCAGAAGTTTGGTGTTGGAGTTTGGAGAAGGAACCAAAAAGGACGACTTTAGTCTTCCTTAAAACCTACCCTTTGATCACCCACTCTAAAATTTCCATATGCAGCTTTTCCAAACATGTGCTTTGATTATGCTTAAAGCTTTACTATGTGATAGGTGAAATTTAAATGCAAATCAAATCAATTCTTTTGTGAAGAATATTTTCCAGCACCGTCACCTTCATAATCTTATACCCACACCTCAGTGATGTTTGAAATTAAGCCTGTGTTAAAGCCTTCTGCTGTCTGGGAAGACGGCCTATACAGAAAGGGGCCAAGATGAGAACATCATCTCAGAGCAAAGCTCCTTAATGTCATTCAAACAAAATTCATCAAAATGAAATCACTACATGGGCAGCTAGCTTTTGCACAATTCCCTTAAAAACAGATCATTGGAAAATAAAAGGTACAGGCTTTGTTAAAATATAGCTCCATTTGCTTGAAAGAACAAGGCTGTTTTAAAACTGTCACATGAAGGATAATACATAATTTTTTTTGATGAACTTCAGGCTTTCTATTCTCCTCCTCTGATATTTCCCTTCTACTCTTGAAACTCTCAACACCTTGCAGAGGGGAAGATGACTCCATTGGTACACAAAGCCCTCTGACTCCTCAGCCATGTGAGATCCTTCACTGGTGAGTCCATTAAAGTAAGGCAAGCAGCTTATTTGATGACTGCCAAAAAACTACACATTTTGTATTCTATTTCCACTCATCATCTGCAACATGGGTCACAGGTGGTGATTAGAACTTTCCTGTAATTGTACAAACACATGACAAATCAGAAGATTGGACTGAACATAAAAAGTGCAAAATATGACAAAAAAATTAAAGAAATACTGTATGAGACTTAGCTGGAGAAAATATTGAAAATTAATAGCAAGAGTTTGTGTAAAGATCTAATAAAAGAGCTAAATTAAGCATTGGTCCTATAAAAATGGATCTGGGGAATTAATCATGGAAAATGAATTAAATATGCATTTGCAATGGTCTTCACTGTAGAGGATGCAATAACATCCATTTGTCCATTTTAGTATGGAGAATTAAGAAAAGGACATTAATTAAATGGTGAGAGATTGCAGAGCTCTGTGATGCAGAGGGTTCTGGGCCTCCCGCTGCATGAATCACAAAAGGTTAGTAAGCACATACAGCAAATAATTAGGAATGCTAATACAATATTTTATCAGTTATTGCAGGGGAATTGAATACAAAAGTAGCAAAGTTTTGCTTCAGTTAGACAGGGCACTATGAGATCACATCTTGAGTATTCTGTAATTGTACAGTATTGGTCACCTATTGAGGGAATCAATGTAAATCTATTGTAAGCAGATCACAGAAAGTTCATATGGAATGAACTGATTGTTTCATGAGGAAAGATTAGGAAGGCTGGGCTGGTATTTTCTGGAGTTTGGGAGAGTAAGAGGTGTCTTGACAGAAACATAAAAGATCCTGAGTGATCTTGAATAGGTAGGCTTGGAGAATATATTTATGAGAGACTTTAGAGCTAGGAGGCCACTGTTCAAAATTCAGGAGCCACTTATTTAAAACAAACATAAGGCAAAGTTATCTCTCTCACAGGATTGGGAGTCTTTGAAACTCATGCCTTGAAAAGTCCTTTAATATTTATAAGGCAATGGTAGATAGATTCTTTTAACCAGGGTGTGAAAGGTGACCAGTGCAGATTTGAGATTACAATCTGATCAACCATGATTCTACTGAATGAAGGAGCAGTTAGACGGGCTGAATGGTCTACTCTTGCTCCCTGTTAACATGTTCAGATGTTAATCCACAACCTTTCTAACTCAGATGTGAAAGCGCAACCAAATGAGATACAGTTGAAAACATCAAAAGTATTTTCCTTTACGTTCTGGCCAATCGTGCCAAATCAACATCACCAAAGTAGATTACCTGGCTAATATCACATTGCTTTTGTCGGATAATGCAGAGCACAACTTGGCTTCCACACATTCCGCAATAATAACAGTGATTATCATTCAGCTTACTGGCTGTAAATCGCCGTGGGATATTTTGAGGCTGAGAGAGAAGTTATATAAGTGCAAGACCTCTTTTGTTTCTGTATCTATCAGGTAAGCAGATCCCTCACCAACCGAGTTACCGAGGCTGTGGGAGGGGGGGGGGGGGGGGTGTGGTGGATGATGTGTTTTTCCAATCTATCAGAGTTTATGCAGTGACTGTCAACTCCTGCGGTCATGTGGATGAAATAATTCTCTGGCCCGGCCACTGCCTTGATCAAGTAGAGGACAGCAGCCACCAGAGCTCTGTCTCAAAAAGGCAAACGGAGAAAAATGGGGGGGTGGGTACAGAGAGAGAGAGAGAGATTGATGCCAGTGGCATGTGTGCCACCTAGAGGAATGAGCAGAATCTACACAACAGTAATGACAACGCCATTTCATGCACTTGAGAAAGAATACAGATGGTAGAAATTCTGAGCGATTAGCTGAAATTAGCTCCTCTCTTTCATCTGGCGAGTTAAACAGAATAGGGCAGAGAAAACAAGGTTCGGAGCTTCACAATAAAATCAAGGTACACTGGCCGTGCTTCACATCATCACTGTCTTACCTTTTCTTTTGGAACAGCTCCAGGCCAATCATAATACAAATGCTAATTTCTCGAAATGTTCGGTATTCATGGTGCCATTTCTGTAACAAATGCAAATCACAGCAGTGGAATTTTTACATAACGTGGAAGTATAAAATGAATATTAAATACTAGAGCAGAAGATGACCACTTGGATGCTTGAGCCTGCTCCACCACTCAATAAGCTCATAGTTGATCTGTTTGCATTTCAAATTCCACATTCCCATTTACCCCCAATAACCTTCCTTCCCCTGCCTAACAAGAATCTATCTACCAACATCTTAAAAATATCCAATGACTACCCCCACCACTGTCTTCTGAGCTCCAAAGTCAAACAACCCTCAGAGAATAAATTTCACCTCACCTCTGTCCTATAAGGCCAACTCCCAATTTTAAAACAGTGCCCCCTACTTTTTGACTGATGCACAAGAGGAAACATCCTTTCCACACCCATGTCACAAACATTCAGGATCTTAAACAATTCAATTCACTTGTCTAAACTTCAGTGGAGACAAGCCCAGCCTGTGCCAGTCATCCAGGATTCAATCTAGTAAACCTCCTCAATTGCTAAAGGAATAGAGTATAAAAGTAGGGAAATGTTGCTGCAACTATACAAGGCAGCAGTGAGACCACACCTGCAGCATTGCATTCAGTCTTGGACCCTTTACATAGGGATGGATGTACTTACATCGGAAGCAGTCAGAGGAAACTCAAAAAATATAAAAAAAACAGAAATAATTGTGAATCAGAATGTGTAAAGAAGAAATTATGATCACCAGGGAAAAGGTGCTGATAAATTATTGGAACTAAAATCTGGCAAGTATCCTGGCCCTGATGGATTCCATCTCAGGTTTGGTGGCACAGTGCTCAGTGGTTCGCACTGCTGCCACAAGGCGCCAGGGACCTGGGTTTGATTCCACCCTCGGGCGACTGTCTGTATGGAGTTTACACGTTCTCCCCGTGTCTGTGTGGGTTTCCTTCGGGTGCTCTGATTTCCTCCCACAGTCCAAAGATGTGCAGGCTAGGTGGATTGGCCATGCTAAACTGTCCATTGTGTCCAGAGATGTGTAAGTTAGGTGGATTATCCATGGGAAATGCAGGGAGATAGGGAGATAGGGAGGTGGGGTGGGGTGTTGGGGGGGGAATGCTCTCTGGAGGGTCAGTGTAGAATTGATGGGCCAAATGGCCTTTTTCCACACTATAGGATTCTATACGGAACAAGTAATAGCTGCATTAGTTTTAATTTTCCCAATTTCCCTACTTTCTGAAAGATCTCATAAAAGTGGAAAACAGTGAATGTGTTTCCTTGATTCAGGAAAGGATGGAGACATTAAGCAGAAATATATGAGCTGGCTAACTTGACATCTAATATGGCAAAATGTCAGAATCCACTATTATGGAGGTTTTGGTCCCCTTTCTTGCAGCAGGATGTAGTTGTGTTGGAGGCAGTTCAGAGGAGGTTCACTAGATTGATTCCAGAGTTGAGGAGTTTGTCTTAGAAGGGAGAACGAGCAGATTAGTCTTATACTGATGAGAATTCAGAAGAATGAGAGGCGATCTAATTGAGGTATAGAGGACCTTAAAGGGGATTGACAAAGTAGACGTAAAGAAGATGTTTCCTCTTGTGAGACAAACTAGAATGAGTGGTCATAGTTTTAAGATAAAGGGTGTCAGATTTAAAACAGGGATGAGGATGAATTACGTCTCTCAAAGAGTCATGAATCAGTGGAATTCACAACCCCAGAGTATGGTTGATGCTGAGACACTGAGGAAATTTAAACAGGAAAGAGACAAATTTTTATATCATAACAAGTTGAAGGATTACAGGGAGTGGGCAGGAAAGTTGAGTTGAAGCTGAGGCGAGATGAGGGACTGAATTGTTTACTCCTGCTCCTAGTTCTTTAGAGTTCTGAGCCGCCACCAATACATTTGTATCCTTTCTTAACTAAGGAGATCAAAACTGCACACAATATTCAAGATGTAGTCTCACCAATACCCTGGACAACAGAAGCATAATGTCCTTATTTTCAGTGCTTCTTGGAATAAAGGAGAACATCGCACTCGCCTTCTTGATGATGCCGTGTACCTGCATCAAAATGCTGATATAGCTCTGCAGTTTGGATTCCTACAGTCATTCTCTGTTCAATACTCGGATTTTTTTTACAGTTCCCCATAGTTTCCTTCTCCCACCCAATTTCCAAATCTCCTTCAGAGCATCATTTCCGTGATAACCATAATTTGGGCGCTGACCTTGGTTAAGACCTACGTAGTCACACTTTCCAGCACAAGCCCTCTTGTGCATTCCTGATTTTTTTCTGTCCCTACCATGGTAGGTGTGCCTTCAGCCATTTGAACCTAACTCTAGAACTCTCTCCCCAATTTTTTTCTCAAGAATGAAAGAAACTACAGAGAGTTGGGAACACAGGCCAATCAATCGTGCAAACCAGCCTCCCATCCAATGACTGTATCTACACTTCCTGCTGCATTGGGAAAGCAACCAACATAAACAAAGAACAAAAACAAAGTTGCTGAAAAAGTTCGGCAGGTCTGGCAGCATCTGTGAAGAAAAAACCAGAGTTAACGTTTCGGGTCCGGTGACCCTTCCTCAGAACTGATGGTGGCTGGGAAAACGTCACTTTATATGCAGAAAATAGGCAGGGGGTTGCAGTAGGGAGTAAATGATAGGATAGAGTCTAAAGAGAGAGAAGAGCAGTTGGACAAAGAGTTGATAACGATCAGGCTGGTAGGGTGAATAGTTGTTTATGGGAACTGTTAGTGACTAACAACGGGGGGTGTGTAATGGTAGGCAATGTGATAACAAGGCCTGGTGTGTGGGGTAGGGGGCTGAGACATGGGAGGGTTTAGACCCTAAAATTATTCAACTCGATATTGAGTCCGGAGGGCTGCAGGGTCCCCAAGCGGAAAATGAGGTGTTGTTTTTCCAGCTTGCGTTGAGCTTCGCTGGAACACTGTAGCAGGCCAGAGACAGAGATGTTGGCCAGGGAGCAGGGTGGTGCGTTAAAGTGGCAGGCAACAGGTAGTTCAGGGTCTTTTTTGCGAGCAGAACGTAGATGCTCTGCGAAGCAGTCACCCAGTCTACGCTTCGTTTTCCCAGTGTAGAGGAGATGACATTGTGAGCAGCGAATGCAGTAGACTAGATTCTGGGAAGTGCAGGTCAAGTGTTGCTTCACTTGGAAGGTATGTTTGGGCCCTTGGATACTGGGCAGGGGAGGAGGTAAATGGGCAGGTGTTGCACCTTCGCTGGTTAGAGGGGAAGGTGCCGTGGGGCTGTAGGGGGGATGTTAGGGGTGAAGGAAGTGTGAACCAGCGTGTCCCGGAGGGAACGGTCCCTGTGGAAGGTGGACAAGGGAGGTGAATATGTGTCTGGTAGTGGCATCTCACTGGAGGTGGCGGAAATGGCGTCTGATGATCTTCTGGATGTGGATGATGGTGGGATGGTAGGTAAGGAAAAGGGGAACCCTGTCGTTGTTGTAGGAGGGAAGAGAAGGGGTGAGGGTGGAAGTGCGGAAGATGGGTCTGACCCGGTTGAGGGCCCTGTTGACAACGGTACTGGGGAATCCTTGGTTGAGGAAGAAGGTGGACATTTCAGAGGCTCCCTTGTTATTTGTCACTAATAGTCCCCATTAACAACTATTCACCCTCCCAGCCTGATCGTTATTGACTCTTTATCTGTCCAACTGCTCTTCTCTCTCTTTAGGCTCTATCCTATCATTTACTCCCTACCCCAACCCCTCCCTATTTTCTGCATATAAACTGACGTTTTCCCAGCCACCATCAGTTCTGAGCAAGGGTCACTGGACCTGAAACGTTAATTCTGTTTTTTTCCTGCTGAGCTTTTCCAGCCACTTTGTTTTTGTTACTGATTTCCAGCATCCGCAGTTCTTTCAGTTTTTATTAACATAAACAAAGACCCTTCCCACCCTGGTTATACTCGCTTCCATCCTCTTTTCTTTGGGCAGAATTTATAAGTTTGTAGACATGTATGGGCAGATTAAGGTACAGCTTCTTCCCTGCTGTTATCAGACTTTTTGAATGGACATCTTTAATGTTAATGTTGATCATGCTCTGCACCTTCTCAGCAGCTGTGACACTATATCCTGCGCTCTGTTCTGTTTCCCTGATGCACTTGTATAGTTTGATCTGCCTGTAAAGCATGTAAGACAACACTTTTCACTGTACCTCAGTACATGTGACAGTAATAAATCAAATTGAAAATTCTCCCTCCATTTTCATTTTCAATTGCTATCTCTGTAGTATTAACATGCCTTGCCTTCTACTCATTACATAATCACTCCTTTTCTGTCAGTGACATTTCATCAACTGCCTTTGGATTCTAAACTATCCCCTACTTAATCACCAATATTCTCACCATCAGATCAAAACAGGATTTGACCTTGTTGTTCTAGCAATCCTCCTCTCGTTAATGTGCTTTGCTGAAAGCCTGGTCTGCTATAGTCCCATGACAATTTGAGCATTTAAATCAATGGTATTAGAGTAATTAGGCATGCCGAATGGCCTCCTTCTGTGTTGTACGATCCCAGATGAAGCTATGCAAGGAAAAACCAACTTGTATTTTAAAATGCGTGGATTCAAGTGTTTCTTTGTTGTATAGTCTGTTATGATGTAGAAAAATATAGCAGCCAACCTGCACACAGAGAGACCTGATAAACAGCAATGAAATAAATGATTAATTAAACTGTTTTCATGATGCTGGTTGAAGTATAAATATTGGCCCGAATACAGAGGAGAAATTCCCTGCTCTTCTAGTGAATAATCTAATGGGACTTTCTTTACATCCACCCAAGAGGCCAGACATGACCTTAGTTGAGCATCTCATCAGGGTGACAGCACCCCCTCGGTACCAATGTGTGAGTGTCAGCCTAGACTATACACTCAAAATTATGGATGTAGGGACTTGAAATTACAGCCAGCTAACTCAGAATGCTAACCACTGAGCCAAGGCTGACACATAGTGCCATCTGGTCTATTAAAGCCTTAATCAACAGGTGGGCAACATGAAAAATAAACCAAATAATTAAATAAATCTGCTGGGAAATGCTCCCGCCTCCCTTTAAAAAAAAAATTCAACATCTTGCAACAGTGTCAGCCATTTTGAAGCAAACCTGATCATGCAGATCGCATTTGTCCAGTACTATTGCTGGCCCACAGAAAACATTGCTTATAATCTATTTACTCAGCGCATCAAACAGAAAGTGGCACTGGGACATTTTGCGTTATTATTTCCCCAAGGCCCCAATTCTGATGTAAGCTTTTCAATGTTGGTTACTGAAATAAAATAATTAAACAAAAAAGTCTCCTGCACACATCACTAGCAGTATGCATGAAAAATTAACACCACAAGGGGCAAAAAGCATTTAAGATTCAAGCGTTCTAAATATCAAGCATCGTTCTCACTAATTTTTTTTTGGCAATTTGCTGAATTACAGGGCCCCTTTCAATTATTTTTGGCTTGGCTACACACCCAGAGTAATTTAAGAGGGCTAATTTATACGCAACTTGCATGTGAACACAAGGTTGCTGTTGTGGCTATGCAGTTTGCAAAGAACAACTGATCTCCAGTGATTATACCCTCAATGGATTTCATGAGAACTGTATGTGTGGACCGAGAGTAAGAGTGGTCACTTTGATTTTACTGTAACCTTCGACAATACCTCTCCATTGTTTAAAGTTATCATTATCACACAAAATACATAACAGCGACATTATCACAGAGACATGCAAAATTGGAAGCCAATTGACCCATCGAAGTTTGCGCTGGCTTTTTGAAAGTGCTATCCAATTAGTCTCATACTTATTCAGTTTACTAAATCCCCTTTTGAAAGTTACCACTGAATCTGTTTCTACTACTCTTTCGAACTGCTCGTACAAACCATAATAATGTGGTGTGTAAAAGAAAATGTAATGTTTCCCCTGCTCCTTTTGAGATTTTTTTTAAACATTGGTTAACACTTTTTGTACATTGGTTTCTGACTCTTTACTAAATCTACTCTACTTTAAAAATTCATTAAAAAATATCTGGAATTAAGAGTCTACTGACGACCATAATATCATTGCTGATTATCAAAATATCCCACCTTGCTCAGGGAAGGAAATCTGCTATCCTCACCTGGTCTGGTCTACATGTGAGCACAGTTTGGAATTTTTAGGTTTTTTGTATTCATTCACAGGATGAGGATGTAACTAGCTTGGCCAGAATTTATTGCCCATCCTTAACTGCCAGAGAGTAACAGCCCAGCAATAATACCTTGAGGCTGTCACTTCCCTTATGGACTTATCACCTCATTGATCATGATAATATATAAATCTATGCATACCGGCAGACTAATCATCAGAGATCCATCTGTTTTAACAGTGTAAAAGATTTCGGGTGTCTATCCAAGAGTGTGTAATGGCATTCAAGATGAATAATGCCAATGCATGGGATGTTGGACCCATTATGAGAAGTTAGCTTATCTAGAGTGAATTCTATCTCATTGTGCCAGTTTCCTGGGTATATGAGAAAGGGGATGATATTTGCATGTGCACCAGTGTAACTGTGACATAAAGCACAAATTGTCCATTCCTCTGGAATGCATCATTTGGATGGTGGTAAAGGTTTTAGCTTTTCTGATGATTTTCATGTGGGGTGTTAGTGTTAAGGGGAGGCAATGGCCTGAAGGTACTATCGCTGGATTGTTAATCCAGTGACCCAGGTAACGTTCTGGGGACCTGGGTTCGAACCTCGCCACGGCCACTGGTGGAATTTGAATTCAATAAATATGTGGAATCAAGATTGAATCCATTGCCAATTGTCAGGAAAAACCCATCTGGTTCACTACTCTCCTTCAGAGAAGGAGACTGCCATCCTGGTCTGGCCTATATGTGACTCCAGAACAACAGCAATGTGGTTAACTCATAACTGCCCGCTGGGCAATTAGGAGTGGGCAATAAATGCTGGCCTAGCCAGCGACGCCCTCATCCCGTGAATGAATACATGAAAATGAAGTTTAGGAATGCACTATCTGACTGTGGACTATAATTTGCAGTTATCTTTTGGACTTTGTTAACATCCTTGTGTGCCATAGGTTAAATTTTGGAAATTTCTTTTGCAAGGTTCCCTTTTGGTCCTTCTTCACATGCTTCGGTGTAGCTTTGTGTCTCTGGGTCTCTGGGTGACTGAGTTTCCAACACATTTTAGTTCCTCATGTGGAGTACTGCTTTCATAAGTCACAAAATCCTGGCAACTGTTTTGACGAAGCAAGCCACATCTCAGACAACATTTGGCTGATTGACTACGTTTCAGAACAGTCTAAACAGCCTTTAGACTTTGTTGCAGCATTTTAGTTTTTTGTTGCAAAGTCAGTTCTGAACTCAAACAGACTGATGGCTCACTGTAAAGAAGAAGACTTTTCACAACTGCCTGCTGTGGTGTCACCTCTTCAGGCTTTAGGTTCCACTTACTACTGCTGACCAGCCGTCTCAATCAACTTTTAGTGCTCATATGCTGCTGCCAAATTGCCATTGTGTAGCTTTCTTTATACATAGAAAGCATAATATACATCAGAGAGAAATTCTTTTTGAGTCAGCCATTGAAGCTATTCACAACACTAACTATTTACAAGGCGACAATATCACAGGCTTATACATATAGACTGGGTTCTATGTTTACTGATATTACTGTACATTAACACCTACGCACAGCTGACTGACTACGATGACTCCATACAATGAGACAGTGACTGAAGGTGACTCAGGTTCCAATTTATGCAACATCTCATGCAACTATCTTAAAGATACAGGCCTGCCTATTCTGGAATCCAAGCCATGATACAACACATCCTGGAAACACCAAATGACCATAGTGAGATTATTGTCAACAGAAAAACCAAATAACTGCGGAAGCTGGAAATCAGAAACAAAAACAGAAATTGCTGGAAAAGCTCAGCAGGTCTGGCAGCATCTATGGAGAGAAAGCAGAGTTAACATTTCCGGTCCAGTGACCATTTTTCTGTTCTGAAGAATTCGGGGTGGGGGGGCGGTCACTGAACCTGAAACGTTAACTGTGCTTTCTCTCCACAGATGCTGCCAAACCTGCTGAGATTTTTCCAGCCATTTCTGTTTTTGTTCCTTAGTTTCAACAGCAGCTGGATCAGGCACTGACCCTGCGCCAAACAACATCATTATGTCAGGTTATGTGGTCATTTCCTTACTGCTGGTGTGAGACCCCTACTATGGGCAAACTGGTTGCCATGTTTCTGGCATTACAACAGTCACTGCACTTCAAGATTATGGAAAACGAACAGAAATGTCCATACTCAGAGAACAGTCAGAACTGAGGAACTTGTCACCTGACATGGCTGAGACAAACAGCTTAGATTCTTTCAAAAAGGAAGTAGATGAGTGCATGAGAGAAAAATGGGACAGAATGATGCTGAGGGGCTGAAATGAGGAAACTAGGGTGAATATAAATGCCGATAGGTGCTATTTGGATAAAATGGATTGCTTCTATGCTCTGTACTCTATGTAAGTAACCATATATAAAGGAATGCCCAAACCCCACGATGTTCCAACAAACGATTCCTAAGCACAAGTCAATGTCTTCAGGAGAAAGTTACCATTTATAAAAGCCACTTCAAATTTCCCTTCAAGAGGCTGATATCTGAAAATGTTTAGGCACTTTCCTACATTGTTACCTCACTTACCTCGTACTCCTCCATGTTGACCTCCTTAGGTTTGATCAGCTCAAGTTTGGCCCGTGCTATTTTCATTACACTGCGACATCTGAAACACATTGGGAGCGTAATTAGCTTGTGTTTCAAAAGAACACAAAACAGGAAACAGGAGCAGATCATTTGTCCCTCGAACCTGCTCCAACATTCAAAATGACCACTGATTTTCTTTGCCTCCAAATGCCGTTTTCCCACGTTTCTCATATTGCTTGGTTCCCTAAGAGACCAAAAGTTGGAAATCTCAGCCTTAAATATCTTCAGGAATGAACCATCCGCAATCCTTGGGTTGCATAACTGAATGACAAAATTTATCGTCAACGCAGTCCTTAAGTGATCGACTCTCTACCGTGAGACTGTGCCCATGTTCTACATTAACTGGCCAGGGACAACAAAAGAAAATCTAATTTGTTCATCCTGCCATCACAGACCAAATCTCTCATTCCTGTGGCTAATCTAGTGAACCTTCGCTGCACATCAGCAAGGCAAGCGTATTCTGCCCAAGATATGGAGATCTAACCTGCACAAGGTGCTCCAAGTGGTCTCACCAAAGTTCTCTATAATTGTAGCCAGATTTCCGTGTTCTTATTTGCCAGTCTTCTTGCAATAACAATCCATATGCCATTTGTCTTCTAATTGCTTGTTAAGGTTCAGTGCTCTTCGCCTGCAAGTCTCTTCTGAATCTCAACATCAGAGGTTTTGTGCCTTTTAACGATACTACTTTTCTATTTGTACTCCCAAAATGAACAATTTCACACATCCCCACATTAGGCTTCATCTGCTTCCCATTCACTTAAGCTGTTTATATCTCTTTGCAGCTTCTTCATATCTTCCTTATGGCTTACGTTCCAATCCTGCTTGTAATGATCAACAAATGTAGATACATTACACTTGGTCTATTTGTTTAGATAACACAGGTTGTAAAGAGAACTCACAGAATCCCTACAGTGCAGAAGCAGCCCATTTGGCCCATCTAGTCCACAGTGACCCTCTGAAGAGTGTCCCACAAAGACCTGCCCCTTCCCATCCTATCCTCGTAACCCTGCATTTTCCATGGCCAATTTAACCAGCCTGTACACTACAGGCAATTTAGCATGGCTAATCCACCTAACCTCCACATCTTTGGACTGTAGGAGGAAACCGGAGCACCTGGAGGAAACTCACACAGGCGCAGGGAGAATGTGCAAACACCACACAGTCACTTGAGGGTGGAATTGAACCCGGTTCCCTAGTGCTGCGAGGCAGCAGTGCTAACCACTGTGCCATCTTGCCACCAACCCCCCCCCTTACATCTTGGATGTAGGCCATTGGTTTCTGAGCATTTGCCAGTTTTTAGTCCTTTTAAGCCATGGATGGATCTTTTTTGCTGAGTTTTTGTTTTACACAGATTTTTGTCAAACATTTTGAATTATTTCTTTAAATGTTATGGTTTGCTTATAACCATGTCTTTTAGTCAATTACCCAATCAACTTTGGCCAACTTCTCCTCATATGTAATTGGTTTTGTTTAAGACTGAAACATGATACTTTGAAATTTAAGATGAAATTCAATTACATTAAGATCATTTTTTCTCAGAGGATCTTTTATTACAATACTACTAATTGAATCTGCCTTATTCTATGGTATTAGATAAAACAGATTTATTCTTAATAGATTCCACAATGTGTGCTTCAGAAAACTGTCATGAAGGCATCCTGCAAACTCTTCATCTATGCTATTTTTGCAAATTTGATTTGTCCAGGTTACAAGATTAAAGTGCTTCATGTTTATTGCACTGCCTTTTATTTCAATTATTCTTTGCTTGTTGCTCAGCTCATTGTTAGGGGGTCTATAATCTACACCCGCCAGTTTTTTGGTGGCCGTCATTATTCTTAAACTTCATCCAAACAGATTCTACTTCTGATCTTCTCAGCCAAGATCCTCTCTCATTTCTGTCCTCATGTCATCCTTTGCACCAAGGCTACTCATGTAACGGACAAGAGAAAATACTAGCACCAACACCTCAGAGACAACTCAAAGCAATTTTGACTAACAGAAATTTGACTGGAGTGCAGATAATCTTTTGCAGGCAAACACATTATCTTGGTGGTTGCTAACTCTTATCACTTTCAAGAGGGTGCCAAGCAGGTTCTTGACTCAAGCAGAGATTACAGCATTTGGATGGGAAATTGATTAATAAGTAACAAATTCTTGGACTATGAGATCTCCTCATCTGCTTACAAACAACTGACAGGGTCATGGATGAAGTTTACAATTTTTTCTTCTCTTTTCATCTGTAACCAACATGTTTAGTGTATGGTACTCTCCCAGTTTGAGCTTTGTAAGTTCAAGTCCCACTCCACACAGAGACTCGAGTCCAAAAATCCAGACTAGCACTTTAATCCAGTGCTGAGGGGTGCTGCATTGTCATTGGTGCCCTAAGTTAGATCAGATGTTGCACTGAAACCACATCTGCCCTCTATCATTATAGATCCCAGCATAATTCCTGGCCAATATTTATTCCTTAATTGCTATCACTAAAGCAGATTATTTGGCAATCATGTTGGTGTTTGTGGAAGCTTGTTATATGTAACTTGGCTGTCATCTATCGTATATTACAACAGAATGTTTAAAAAGAACTTTGAGTTCTGAAGACGGGTTATTGGAACTCTGTTTTCTCTCCGTAACTGCTGCCAGACCTGCTGGGTTTTCCCAGCTGGTTCTGTTTTTGTTTAAAAATAACTTCACTAGCTGTGAAGCACTTTGGGGTTTGGGACTTATGTAAATACAAGTATTTCATTTTTCTACACTTTATTAGTTGTGGGATTTTTTTTTCTCCCTCTAACATTAAGCCTCTTGCAGGAGATTGCCTGACTGCTGTTGGGGAATGGTGCAGTTATGGGGAGAAATGTGAAATTCCTGGCAATGATGCTCCAACCATGATGTGCACTGGTCAAACTTGACAGACCAGCTGGCCATTTTCATAGACTTACATGAAAATGTATTTGCTCATACCGGCTGTGTAGAACCAGCATAAGAAATCCCCATTCCTCTCTCCTAAATCTTTTTTTAAAATTATGCCACAGTGTTTTTATAAAACATGCCCAAGTCTCCTGAACTGGCCTCACTAAATGTCTCATCCAAACAGTGGCACTTGGGATAATGCAGCACTTTCTCAGCATAGTGTTAATATGCGAGCAGAGCAACACAGTTTGAGTCTGCAACTCTTCATTGAGGTCCACAGCCCAGACTATCATAGCGCTGGTCTCTCATTACAGAGAGTTGACTGGTGGCGGTTTAACCTGAGGGTCACCACACCTCAGGCGAGGGGAGAGGTTGAGAAGGACAGTCCTTCGTGGTAACCTCAGCTAGTATGGGAATTGAACCCCACGTTGTTGGCATCACTGTCATCACAAACCAAATGCCCAGCCAAGTGAGCTAACTGGCCTCCTTCACAGAGATGGACATGTCACCTACCAACAACTTGACATCGGTTCCTTTTACTCACCAGTGTCTGCAAGGCTATCTAATGACATTGATTAAGGGGGAAATTTTCATTGAGCTGTGCTCTCTACGTCCTCACTTAAGTTCAGCTAGTTTATTTTTTTTATGTGGCAGGTGACAGCCCCCCCATTCCCCAGAATGTCAGGTCAAGTGGTCATGCTGCGTGAATGAGCCTGGACATTATCAATGGGGTCACAGCTCAGCTCCAAGCTGTCTTCATCTGACATTCATACTCCTAACACGTTGCAGCACAAGGTCACTGACTCATGATTAAGAGCAGGAATCCTGCCTGTTTCTTTCTTCTCTCTCATGCTGGTCTGAATTGCTTTTTCCAAGAAAAAAACTTTATTCATAAAGTGTGTAAAGATATGTCACAGCGCAATTCAAAAGCAGTAGAATAGAAAGCACATTACAGATGGATTTGGTTAAATACACTTTCAGGTTCGTCACTCACAATTGTAACTTACATCTATATTTACGTTTTGAGTGTGTAGGACAGATCTGACGCAGAGGGCCCTTCACACCACCAGTCAAGCTAGGTCTTGCTGTAAAATTGTGGCATTTGCTGCTGTGAATGCCTCAGCCACATCACAGTATTAAAATTAGTGAACTCGCCCAGAACAAGCCTTGGAATCTGTTGGCCGAGTGTAGCTCAGGTTCCACAGTAGCCAGTGCTTTTACGAACTGACCATCTGATCTACTGCAGAACTAAAGTGGTAACTCATCACAGATAAGTGTAATTAATGATTTCTTAGTTTAACAACAGGTCATAAATAATCATCAACTTCATGTTCTTTAAATAAAGTTTCAGGAGTTGAAGGTCATCGGAAGTTGAAGAGGTCTCATTAAATGTCAAGGTTCATGGATGGGGGTTATTGCATTCCAAAACAACGTTCAATTTAAGATGATGCTAAGTACTTGAATTAGCTGCCAGCCCAGTTTAAAACATACAGAAGGCATATCCTGCATGTGGGACATGCAAAGCAAATTCAGAATTTTCTTCTTTTAATCTCATCTCATGTCATATATTATAAGGCTAGTATCAATATACCAATTACAAAATCTCATTCCCTGCATGGCTGGAGTTAATACAGCAAAGACTGAGAAGGGATACTCAGGCCCAAAAGCTTGTTTAGCTGCATACTTCAGCAGGCTACATGGACCACAGCACAGCCTTTGTGAGGTTTGGCTAATAATTGGCCAGGTAAACATATTTGGCACACCAGGCTTAATGGGATCCAGGTGCCCATGTTCTTCACTAAACTTCTACCAGCCATGATGTGGTAGCCAGCACTCTACACCTGATTCAGAAGGTCATGGGGTTTAAGACCCACTTAAAGAATGGAATGCTCAATCGAGGCTGACACTCCCAATGCCAATATAATGGGAGTGGCGCACAAACGTCGGTGACATCTTTTGGATGTGATGTCCAACTAAGAGCCTTTCGGTCTTCTCAGCTGGATGTAAAAGATCTCATTCCATTATTCTTAAAGAAAAAACAAGGAAGCTCTTCCCTGTATCCTGGTCAATACTTATCCCTCACCGTCATCAGCAAAAATAAAGGCATATTATCTTGTCTTTACCACATAGCTGCATCAGGATCTTGCACACCGGAGGTCTCAATTCCTACAATGCAAGAATGACTAAACGTAAAAAGTAATTCACTGGCAGAAAAACACTTTAAGGTGCCAAGAGGCACTTACTTTACTCTTGTCACAACAATAAATCTCTTGTTACCGTTCATCAAAATTGAGATTCCGATCGGCGAACTGTTCCAAGAGTGTCCTCTCAATAATCTTCTTTGGTGCCTCATTGTGCAGGAAATAGACCACCACATGTTTTAACCGGTTATCGTTCTCCAGCGTGGTATCTTCCTGGGCCAGCCTGACCAAACGGGAGTATTCCGCTGTGAAAGCCTGGAGAGAGAAAGAACCCACTGGAAATGCATTCCAAGCTGCCGTGTAGCCCTGACTATGGGGAATTCTTTGTAAGGTTCAAAGGGAAGCAACTACAAGGATCCACCAGAGCTACGCGGCAAAAGTAAATCCATTCCCTAACGGCACATAGCTACACCCAAACCGCAAATAGGTTTCCTGTTGGGTGAGAGTTGAGTAACTAAACAGTCTATACTCATACAGGCAGAAAGGTCCTTGGGTTTGATTCCCATCTGAGAGCTCAACTAGGCTATTGCAATTGGCCTCAGTAGTGATAGGTTATAGATACACGGGGTGGGGACAGAGCAAGGACTGTTGCTTGGGGACCCCCAGAACCTAATCAGTATCCTGTAACTCATTTTGGAAGCACACAAATTGGCCAAGGGCAGCAGTAGCCTCAGGTGAGATGCATCCTGCGATTATTCTGCCTACCAGATCTTACCACTGAGAGTCACCCATTGTGGGTTTATATATGGGCAAAGGCACTAGACGACACTTTAGTATGGGGAAGCCAAATGCCAGCACTCAGAAGGGGCAGCAGGTAAAATATGTCTTCCAAAATCCAATCTTTCAAAACCCTTGCCTAAATCGCTTCCTTCCCAAAATGCCATAATTTTAGTGGTTCATTCTAACTACCCTTGCCTCCACCAAAAGAAAAAAAACTTGCAATGCTCTTCTCAACATTTCTCTCCCTTACCTCCTTCTAGGTGATGGGCAGAGGGACGGACAGTTGCTTGCTCTGAGCTTGCTGCCAATGGCACTTGGATACAGGTAACATCTCAGGGATTACTCTGCAGTTACTCAGAGGTGCAGATCAAAAGGGAGGATGGAAAGACAATTCAGTTTGTTTCCATTTATTACCTCCATGGTACAGCTGACAGGAGATCAGTATAGGGCAATTAACTGTGTCAATAAATTCACCAATCATTTACAATGCCTTGCCCAGTTCCACCCTTTATAACGCATGAATATAAATATCCCACTGAGAAAAGGGGAATCATAAACAAATGGTGAAGGTACAATATGATTAATTCAGAATCTAAGCTTCCAGCTTTACAACTAAAACAGGGATTAAATTGGATTCTTCCTTTGAAAATAGTTTGCCGTTAGGAACCGAATTTGAGGCATCCGCCTATGAATACATGTAAAGGACAGGTTCATTGCCATTCATGCAACTGCATTCAATGTACTTCTCAAATTGACCACAAATAGTACACACAAGTAAAACGTGTAACTACTTGAATATTTCCATTTTCTCTGGAAGGGTTAATTTCCTGCAGGTGAATCAGTTTTTGGAATGGAATACGGAACTATGCACACTATGTCTTGCAGTTTCACATTCCATGCTTTCTAGATGGTATAAGTGCATGTATTGAGCAATCTCTGCAGGCATAGTTAACCGTGACCTTTAGCTGTCAGAGTGACTTAATTGATAGGTTTAGAAAAGTGCAGCCCTATGGAGCAGAGGTCCAGGTTAACCCACTGAGGCTAATTCCAAGAATGGCCCAATAACATGCATCACCCATTCGCGGACCATTGGTGGAAACTGATCAATATCCAATGAATGGTGGAGCAGACTCAGTGGACTGAACAGTCTACTACTGCTGTTACGTTGTATACTCTGATATTCTACAAAAGCTAAGCGGAACTAAGCCAATATATCAGACAATGGTGAATGTCCACCTCAATCTATTTACCCACCTATTTAACCCAAACTGAATCTACCTCAGTAAAGATAAGTTTAATTGACCCAGTACCAAGAGTAAGTTCCAAATTTCCACGGTGATGCCTGCATTTCTCAAGTTGACTCCTAAATGGTCTAGCTTTACTTTTCAGTTTGTGTCAGGATTGCCCCACCACAGGGGACAGTTTCTCTGCATCTACCATGTTGAATCCCTTCATCTTTGTTAGAATGGCATGCTCACATTCTAGGTTCTTGCATGGAGAATGGACTCTTGGTAATGGATGCCACCTGTAGAATTGAATCTCAGTGTCCTCCCGACATGATGGGGTGGGCCAGGGAGACAACGGATGTATCCTGTATCTAAAACCACATGTAAGTTGGGATTTGCAGGGAATCTAGTGAAATGTTTTTAACTTCTTTCATAGGATGAGGGCAGCTCTGGCTGAGCCACCATTCATTGCCTATCCCTAGTTATTGTAGAGGTGCTGTTGATGAACCATCTTCTTGAAGTTTTTGGCATATTGGAAGACCCTCAGTGTAGCTAGAAAGTGATCTCCAGGAATTCAGTCCAGCATCAGTGAAAGAATGAGTTATATGGAGAAGCTGGGGCTATTTTCCCTAGAGTGTCGGAGGCTGAGGGGTGACCTTACAAGGTTTATAAATCATGAGTGGCATGGACAGGAGAAATAGTCAAGCTCTTTTTCCCATGACAGGGAAATCCAAAACTACATGGCATAGGCTTAAGATGAGACAGAAAGATTTAAAAGGGACCTAAGGGGCAACTTTTTCCACACAGAAGGTGGTACATGTAGAGAATGAGTTGCCAGAGGAAGTGGTGAAGGCTGGTACAATTTTCCAGGATGGGTACATGAATAGGAAAGGTTGAGGGATATGGGCCAAACGCTGGCAAGTGGGACTAGATTAATTTAGGATACCTGGTCGACATGGATAAGTTGAACCAAAGGGTCTGTTTCTGTGCTGCACAACTCTATGATTCTATGAATTGTGACATACAGTCCAAGATAGAATGGTGTGTAGCATAGAGGAGAGCTTGCAGGCTGTGGTGTACCCATTCATCTTCTGTCCTTGTCAGTGGTAAAGGTCATGGGTTTGAAATGTGTTGTTGAAGGTGGTTTCATACCACAATGCATCATATATGGCACACACATCCATCACTATACATTGGTGGTGGAATGTTTATTGTGATGAATGTTTGCACCAATCAAATAGGCTGCATTGTTCAGGGTGATGTCAAGCTTCTTGAGTGTTGTTGAAGCTGCACTCATCCAGGTAAGCGGGGAGTATTTCACTATACTCCTGACTTGTACCTTGTAGATGGTGGATAGATGGTGAGTGAGGAGGTGAGTTATTCACCACCGAATTTCCAGCCTCTGACCCGCTCTTCACAGAAGTGTTACAGTGCAGATAGAGGCCATTTGGTCCAGCATGCCTACACTGGTTTATTAAATGTGCACCAATACTAGTGATCGGTTAGTTCAGTTAGCTGTATGGCTGGTTTGCAATGCAAAGTGATGCTAACAGCGTGGGTTCAATTCGTTTACTGGTTGAAGTCTCTATAAGAGTCCTACTTTCTCAACTTCGCCTGAGGCATTATGACACTCAGGTTAAACTCTCTTAGTGTCTATCTCTCTAATGACAGCAGCCCTATGGTCCTTTGGAACTACAGTGACTTTACCAGAGTTTATATTCTATGTGAACCTCCTCACTCATTTGTTTCCAGTGTATTTATAAGACTAATCCAATTCAGTTTCCAGTCAATGGAAATCCCGAGGATGTCAATAGTGGGGTATTTGGCAAAAGTGTCAGAGAAATATGGTTAAATTCTCCTTTGGAAATGGTCATTACCTCGCATCTACATAGCACAAATGTTATTTGGAAGTCATTATACCTTTATAAGTTGCACACAAAGATCAATATGTCCTGTTTCAGATCAGATAAACAACAAAAGGGAAATCTTACAGGTGGCCTGATAGAGGTCTTTAAATTAATTAAGAGTTTTGACAGGGAAAATGCAGAGCTGATGGTTCCACTTGTGGGGGATGAGAGAGTGGGCATAGAAAGATATATTAAGAGAGAGGAGATGAAGTAGTGTGTGAGGAGGTTCATGTAGCACGTAAACATTGGGCTAGACCAGTTAGGCCAAATGCCTTGTTTTTGTTCAATAAATCTTGTGTGCTGCCAGGTCTAATCACTGGCAGTTCTGCTTTTCAGAATTTTCCTATTAACCTTATCACTCTGCTGGATTATTGAGTGTATGTTTCAGATAACTTCAGGAAACTCCTAAGTACCTCAGTCTGAGTTTAATCTGTCTGAATACAATATACTTGAAGTACTGTAGAAATTCTGGGTATTACATTTCAGGACATTAGGATCTTGTAGAGAGTACAGCGTAATTTTTTCAGAAAGGCACCTAGAATGAGGAACTTCACTTTTGTAAAGGGAGGCACTGGATTACTCTCTTTCTGCTCAAATAGGTCAGGAAATGAGAAGTTTGGGTTTAAGAGGCATTTTGATGTGGTAGATAAGGAGAAGCTGCTTCCATCGATAGCACGGCCAATAACGAGAACAGACAACTCTGTTAAAATCTCCAGAAGGAAAATTAGGAGTTTTGTTTTAAATAATGCAGCAAGTTATGACAATTTGGAATGAGCCGGTGGTAAAGGCAATGGAATTAGATTGAATATTAACTTTCTAACGTAAATTCGGTACATATTTGAAAAGGAAACATTTGCAGGGTCATGGGGAAAGAGTACGAGGTGTGGGACTAATGGAACGGCTCTATCAAATTGTTGGCATAGAAACATTAGAGTGTTTACTGCCTTCAGTGATGGTTGATTCTCAACAATCCAGAACACTGACAAGTTTTGGAGAAGTTGCTGAGGTTTTGTTAAAGGGTGTAATAATGTCCTGAAAATAAAACAATGAACTCCAGATGCTAGAGATCGTAAACACACAATAGGGAAACTGCTAGAGAAGCTCAGTGGATCTGGCAGCTTCTGTGAAGAGAAAACTGAGTCAGTGTTTCAAATCCAGAGACCCTCTTCAAGTCTTCAGTCTTTGAAGTGTGAAACACAACAGCAAACCCCTAGATTGTCATTCTCTGTGTTTCAACACAGTGAGTATGGTCAGACTATTCGTTCTCAGCTTCGAGTATATATACTGTCCAAAAGGGATGACTGGATCTCAGTCAGATGTGGGGATCCCCCAGCTGAAACTTTCCCTTCTTTACTCCTGAAGCACTGGGTAGTAAAATGCAGAGCGTCAACAGGAACAATCAGCAGGATGATCAGGGATAACAGCACAGAAAACCTTTGCATGGTTCAGCATTTCAAGGATACTGCCAATACCAGGCAAACAGATAAGCTAAATAAATTTTCACAGATGCTGCCAGACTTGCTGAGGTTTTCCAGCAACTTTGTTTTCGAAACAGATAAGCTACATAGCTTTTATTTTAATTCATTCATGGGACGTGGGTGTCACATTTATTGCCAATCCCTAGTTGCCCAGAGAACAGTTAAGAGTCAACCACATTGCTATGGGTCTGGAATCACATGCAGGCCAGACCAGGTAAGGATGGCAGTTACATTCCTTAAAAGACATTAGTGAACAAGATGGGTTTTCGAACAATGAACAATATTTTCATGGTCATAATTAGACTCGAGTCCAGATTTCAAATTCACCTACTTTAAATAGTAGATCTGCTGTTGCAGAAATTAGACATAGTTCAGATAATGTGCCAGTTATAAAGGGTTTTATGGCATAGTGGCAATGTCTCTATGTCTGGCTCAACAGGTCTGGGTTCAAGTCCCACCTGTCTGGAGGTGTATCAAAACAGGTTGATCAAAAACATATTTTAAATCAGCCTGACTACCTCAGTTGATTGACCATGAGACTCTTAACCCCATGGTTGAGAGTTGGAGCCCCACTTTGGGTGTGCAGCTTTCTATGACTTTGGTGGCACAAGTGGTAGCATTCCTGCCTCTGGGCCAGAAGGTCCAGGTCCCACCTGCCCCAGACATGTTTAGTACATGACCAAACAGGTTAATTCAATATATATACAGTTCATATAGAAAAATCAAAATGTTTAACCTGCAATTGGACATAAAGCTTTGGTGACAGTATCATGCATGTGTCATTCTGACAGCTTTTAAGTTGCGGTGGAGAAGGGAGATTTATAGAGGCCACAATGGGTTAAAGGTTAGATTTTGATCATAAACTTTTTCCCTGCTTAAATAAAGAACAATCTGGCAAAATTGTTTAGAAGATCATTACCTTTATGCAGGGTTAGTTTCACATTTTTCACAAAGCACTCATTCATTGCAGTTGTGAACAGCAGTAACAACATTTTTATTCTGAATTAATCTAATGCAATTACTAGGGAAGAAAAGCAAACAATTTATTGGTGGATTTTTAAAGTTAATGTCAATTTTGTCCTCTCTTCTCTTGCATTTACTGGTCCTGTCTACCGGATGGGATTCATTGATGCCCTTTGACAAGTGGCTATTGAATGTCAACTTTTAAGTGCCAGCAAGCTATGTAGAGGGCATCACAGCTAAGTTAGAGTCTGTCCTGGTGCTTTCTCGTATACTAATAAACAAACGAGTTGGCACTTTGCTGCACAAATCAAAAGTGATAGCAATCAGCAACCTTGATCAACTTTCCCCTGACTAGCAAACAAACTAGTCTAATCTCCTTTACAGATGGAAATGAGTAAACCTGTTGTTGACAGGATATAGGATTGGATTTGTTTATAAGATTGCTGTTGTATCAATTCTGGGATTTTCTCTGCTAGCAACAAGGATACTTTAAAAAGATATTGATAGGCAACAGATTTTATACAACATGACACTGATCCATAATGTAAATTTAGCTGGTCCATTAGGTTGTAAACAATGTAACTGCACACATGCTACAGTTTTGGCCAGTTACTCCTTACACCACTCAACTTACAGCATGACCAATGATTTCAGGGGCACAATGAAAACAAACAGTCTTGCATGTGCAGCAATGAGAGGCTTTCTGTAATTTCTTTTTGGCCAATTGCTGATTAATGAGTCTATGTTGAAGGTACAGAGGCACAGATTGGAGGCTGGATGTCCTCTGTCTGCTAAACTGGGAATCAAAGAATGGTTCAAATGGTGCTGTCCTGCTGTGTCACGTTAACAGTTGTGGCTCAGTTGGTAACACTCTCACCTTGAAGTTAAAAGATTATGGGTTCAAATCACACTCCAGGTTATTCTACAACCAACAGCACAATGGTGAAGGTCTTGTTTCAATTGTTTAGGAGCTGGCTTAGACCATACCCGGAGTTGTGTGTGCAATTATTGTCTCCTTATGTCAGGAAACATATCGTTGCCATAAAGGGAGTGCAAACTTGCTCCAGGGATTACGGGACTGTGCTATGAAGTGAGACTAGGCAAACTGGACCTGTACTCTCTAGAGTTCTGAAGAATAAGAAGTGGTCTCACTGAAACTTACAAAATACTTAAAGGGATAGACAGGATAGATGCAGGCAAGATGTTTCCCCTAGAATGAGGGGCACAATATAAAAACAAAGGGGATTTCACTTTGGTCCATAATGAAGATAAATTATTTTACTCAGGTTGTGAACCTTTGGAATTCTCTACCAAACAGGGCTGTGGAGGCCCAATCTTGGGTACGTTTAATATGGAGATTGACAGATTTCTTGTTACCAGTGGTGTACAGGGTCATGGGAATGAGGTGAGTTAAAGGCACTTAAGTGCTCAATCAGCCATGGCTGTATTAAATGGCAGGGCCGGCTCAATGGGCTAAATGGCCCGTTCCAACGTTCCTGACATCACTAAAATGTTTGATCTGATCGGTGTCACTCCTCTATAGGAGCTGGCCACACACAAAACCGGCTACCAAGTTTCAACGTCAGAAGAGATCACCTTCTAATCAACTGGTTGTAAAAAAACTTTGAAATATCCCTAGTCATGAAGGGTGATTTAGAAGTTCAAGACTTCCTAGCTTGTCTCCAATTCAAGTCAGCTACCTTGGTAGCCACAAGCTTTGGCTCAGCCTAGATAATGACTCATCCCTTCTATCTACACCTTTATTTTTCTGCACAGAGTAGTAGTTGGAGAAACGTTTACTGAAATAGAGAAAACAATAATATTTTCTATTCAAAATGGACTGTTTCAATTTATTGGGATAAAGTACCTCCTAACTTCTAACTTGTGTGTAGATTTTGTGCTCATCATGTCTTTCGTAAATAACGAGATGTGAGCTCGAATAAAAGCAGCAGAAGAAACAATTTGAATTAGAAAACACAAATTAGATTATGGGTAGGGTTAAGGCAAGAATCAGCTGAAAATAGCTACGAACACCCCACAACTATTTCCCAGCTTTCCAATATCTGTGTGCCAAACAATAGAATCGCAGTTTCTTTCACGTTCAGAGCTTACAAAGTTTACGTCAGAGCTGCCACAGTTAGAAGCTTCACAAACTGTGACAGAAGGATAAACTTCAAAACGATATTAAAACACCACAAAGCCATAATCACTGACATACTGCATAACACATACCCGTAATCTAACAGCAATAATGAACTCAAAAATCGTGCATTCCCTTTCACTTCAAACCACCCTGGAGCTCCACAAACACCAACTGGGAAATGCCCCAGAATCAGTGCTGGAAGAGTGGGCAGTAGAATTTGTTTTTAAAGCACTGTCCTGAACACACAGCCTTTTCCAGCAACGTGTACACAACGTGATTGACTACAGTACAGCTCAACCTATACTGTATTCTAGATGAGCACATATTACATTAAATGTTTGATGGACATGCCACTGGGCTAGAGGCATTGCTCCAAAATTACAGTCCTGAGGGAGGGAGGGAGGGAGGGAGGGCTAGAAAGGGAAGCAGGCGAGGTAAAGAACAATGTGGAAAGGGATTTTGTTTTTAAAAAAGGTAGAACAGTGAAAAATGTGGGTGAGAAAAGTTGAGAAAAGAAATGTAAGACAGGAATAGAAGAAATGAAAGAGATGGGGTACAGAGTGCCAAGGACAGGGGTGGGGGAGGTGCAGGGAGTGAAACAAAAGGAGGAGAGAAAGGAGCTAATGAACACTGATCGTAGCGAATCTGATCAGAATAGACCATTACACGACCTTGTGACAAAACGCACGATGCTGGGTTCAATATTGCTTTAATATGCACAGCAGACAGCATTCAATCACACTAAATAAAATAAAGGGAGTATGTACCTTGAAGAAACCCGCCTCAGGACCATGTCTGTCATACACATTCCTGGCTTTACCTATAGCCATGATAATACCTTGCATGGTTGGGGTCAGCATGACCTGCCAACAAGGGGTCGTAGGTAAAAAGTCAGATAATGGATAACGCTATTCAAAACATATGAATTGGCAACATTTTCTTTTAAATTTTATTTTTTAAATAAATAAGTTCACATAAAGACAGAGTGTGAAACATAAAAATGTTTACAAGTTATCTTAAATTAATGTTATGCAATGAAGTAAGCAGGAAATTAGCACTGGCTTTAAATGTTTCATATTTAAAAATTAAAAAGGCTACTGGCAGGCAACATGCAAGAAAATCTGAAAATGAGATTTTATTTGCCCTGCAAGTGATCAAAGCCTGGCAGTTGCTGTGGAATACAGATGTTCATCAGCATATGCTGCTTATGAAGCAGTCCACAAATGCTCAGCTGTACACCGAATGCAATTCTCTCTCTCTCTCATGCTTTAAGCTACCGACACATATCAATCAGGTCACTTGCTCAGCACAGAGATGGCCATTTGACCCGTCATACCCATGTTGGATTTTTGATGGAACATTCAAATTAGCTGCAGTTCCCGCTCCTGACAGTTGTGCAAATATTTCTATTCAACAATTCAGCCAACCTCTTTCTGAAAGTTGCCACTGAAGCTATCTTTCAGACGGCAAAGACCAACCTAGAATTTACACCACTGAAACAAGACATTCCGCCCAGCCAGTCTGCGTCAAGTGTATAATCAAATGCACAATCCAGGGTAAATCTAACAATCTGTAAACATACACCTCTATAAATTTCACCCTACTCTGTAGCGACTTTTGAACGTCCCTCAAGTGGAAAGGGGAAAACATCATTCACAACAGTTAAGTGCACACAAGCAGGCTTTGTAAAAAGAAAGAAAAGGAAACCTGGTTAAAAGATTGGTGTGAGAGATAGTAGGAACTGCAGATGCTGGACAATCTGAGATAACAAGGTGTAGAGCTGGATGAACACAGCAGGCCAAGCAGCATCAGAGGAGCAGGAAGGCTGACGTTTCCGGCCTAGACCCTTCTTCAAAAAAAGATTGGTGTTCCTCTTTTCAAAAAGCCTGTGCCTTCACAATTGAGGTGGTGGAAGCAGACTGTGATATAAATTAGGATACCAAAGAACAATGTGTGAAGGGGAGAGAATAAATGCTCTTGAGAAGATCTACTGAAATTCAGACACACGTTTCCCTCTAAAATTATCCAGATAGCGCTACAGATAAAACAGCCAGGTTGACTAGGGGCGGCACGGTGGCTCAGTGGTTAGCATTGCTGCCTCACAGGGCCAGAGATTTGGGCTCGATCTTACCCTCGGGCAACTGTGTGGAATTTGCACGTTCTCCCTGTGTCTGCGTAGGTTTCTGCCGGGTGCTCCGGTTTCCTCCCACAGTCCAAAAAATGTGCGAGTTAGGTGGATTAGCCATGCTGAATAGCCTGTAGTGTTCAGGGATGTGCAGGCTAGGTGGGTTAGTCATGGGAAATGCAGGGTTACAGGCACAGGGTAGGGGGATGGGTCTGGATGGGATGCTCTTCGGTCAGTGTGGACCTGTTGTGCCAAATGGCCTGTTTACACACTGTAGGGATTCTATGGACTTTTATAAGAATTAGATATTCACCAAGTGTTTCAACAGAACTCAATGCAAATATTGAGGTCCATTTCATCCGGTCAGTACAACATGATTCATCTAAATCATGTGATCAATGTAAACCTAGAATTGTTCAATCCTTTATGGTTAACAATGTTATTTCTATTAAGTGCATGCAATGCCATTGTGTAAAGAACATGCACACTCTCCTGTCTTGCACTGCACAATGCATACCCTCCCACATCCCGCATTTTGTAATGTGTGTGTTTTCTACCTTTCAGTACGTAGTAGATGCTCTCCTCTCCTTGGAACTGAATACATTCACACTACCCGCAACATCGCACAACGTACCCCCTCCCCTACCCTATATCGCACAATGCATCCTCCTACCTACCCTGCATTTTACAATGCATCCTCTACCCTACTTTGCATTGTACCCTGTCCCCTACTCTGTAGTTTGGTCTCCGGTCTATCATAAGTTTTGAATTTTGCACTTTCCTTGACCTTGCACTCTAGAACCTTCCTTTGCCCCTGTTAGGATGGTTAGCTGTGCCTTCTATCCTACATTTTATAATGCGCACTCCTCTATCCTGAATTATGCAACTTGCACTGTGTTCCGTCTTTTAAGAAACTGTTTAAAGTGTAACTGTAGCACTCCAAGGCACAGCAGTGCACAGAGTCATGCCCATTCAGGAGTGCCATGCAACAAACGCCCACATGCTATCCAGTAATTTACACATAGTCAGGTACTACGTAGATACCTCGTCATCATAACCGCCTTCCTCTGACTCTATGACCAACCTTCCTATTTGGGGAATCTCCACCTCAACCACACGCTGGCTGGGACCGGGCTTGGGGGAAGCTGCAGCAGAGGCCTATGGGAAAAGGGCAAGGTCAGGAAGTGAAGGACAGTATAGGGAAAGAAAAAAAAACGGAGGATCACAAAGCACAGTGCTGATTCTACAAAGGGCTCATTTCTTTGCAGGTGCTATTCCAAGAGCAGTTTTAATTTTCTTTTAGTTACTTTACTCCTTCCCTCGAGGTGCTGAACATTGCTGTGGCAACATCCTAACTTGTGCTGAGGCCAAATTATGGGCTGTTCATGCGGGGGCCAAAATCTGAACTGTTAGTGGGCCATTTTACTGCCACGGTCTGGCTCCAATCTCGTCTGACAGCCACTGAGGCACTTCCAGCAGGCTATCGAGGTAGTGCCATGAATGTCACACAGAGTTAAGTGCAATAACTTAGCAAAAACTAGGAATCTGGTACCACACAGTTCAATGCTGCACAATGTGATAGCGACCCAAACAATCTTGGCAGTCACAAGCAAAATGATGTTTGCCTCAGTCATGGGTTGTCCCATCACATCAAACAGGACTGGCCTGCAATTTTTGGCTCTATTATCATGGCCTTAATGAATTTTCTTTTTATCTATTCAATTTGGGGATCGGATGTCACTGGCAAAGCACTCCTAATTATCTTTGAGGTGGTAGTGAGCTGCCTTATTCATATAGTCTATGTGATGTTAGGATGGGAGATGCAGCATTCCGACACAGTGAGTGTAGGAACGGCGATATATTTCCAAATAAGGATAGCATGTGGCTTGTAGAGGAACTCGCAGTTGGTGCTGTTCCCTTCTAGCCACTGCCCTCAAAATTTGTGATAGGTAGAGGTTGTGGGTTTGGAAGGTGATTTTGAAACTATGGCACACAGAGTGTAAAAGTTACCAAAACAGGTACTTGGGGTGCCTTGGCAGTGTCCATAGTCACACTTGCCAATTGGATGTTTGGGGCAAATCACTGGTTGAACTCATGCAATCTCATTTTGACATAGAGAAGCCTTTAAGATTTAATATGTGGCCACAGAGCACCATCCGGTGGCAAACACTGATCATTACAGTAATGCAATGAAACGAAAGGTGGCAATGTAAGGGATAGAATTTGCAGGGAATCTCATAGAATCAGATATTTGAAGGGACCATCCTTCAAAAGAAGAACAAACGCCACTCCTGTGTTTTGCTAGGGTGAAGCATGGATAATTACTGGTCGGTCACTAGTAATGATAGCAAGTGAAGAACTTCAGCTGATGAATTGAGAGCAGATTTATGTGGGACTTTTTCTGACAATTAGTTCCGTAACCATACTTCAGACAAGTCTGGAAAAAGCACTGACTGCCAACACAAAGAAAAGTAAAAGAAAATACAGAATACAATCAATTCAAGTTTGCATAATCAGGAACTACATTTACTGATCCCACAGGAGAGAACATTGCCTTCCCCTACATTGTCCTTCAAAGAGGATGACAGAACATACAGCACATACATTCAATGTGCAACTTAATGGTGGAGCAGGCAAGAAGGGTAAGAGGGACAAGAGGAAAGGAAGCTGAAAGTGCAACCCTCAAGTGATGTTGTTGATAACTGCAGGGAAACAAGACAATGCAATTCACAGACAGCACAAGTGTTCACATTTGGACAGCTTGGGATGAAGAACAGGGAAAATGTTTTGACGAATTTTAGTTCTGTCCACTGGTGCTCATAAAAACAAACCTTTGCAATTTTAGAACACAAAGGCATGCATTCTTACAAACACAATCATCCGATCTTGGCCTCAGGTTATATCAGCAGTTCCAGCAACAGTGCACAGCACTTCACTTCTCCAAACAAACTTAGAAAATGTGTCAGCCAACCCCAACCACCACATCTACAACAATGCGAACAAGCTCACAATAACAAGCACAACCTCCCCAGAATAACATGGGGGCAACAGTGTAGCCACTGGAATGTCACTCAAGTGCACAGCTGAACACATGGAGCTTCTTACCATACACACTTTCTGACTGGAACATTGCCATTAAAATATTGTAAAATAATTTGAACTAAGGGCACCAAGCAGAGAGTTGGAGCATGTGGTTATAAGAGAGAGGGAGGTGTTTCTTTAAGTAAAGAAAGGCAGTGGGGCATCCTTGAGAGATTTAGCAGAGTCCATGGAGATGGGGCTACTATTAGACTAGATGATCCCAGAATGTGTAACACCTGTAAAGACAGCTGACAGTGGCTCAGTGGTTAGCACTGCTGCCTCACAGCACCAGAGACCCGGGTTCAATACCACTCTTGGGCTGTGTGGAGTTTGCACGTTCTCCCCGTGTCTGTGTGGGTTCCCTCTGGGTGCTCCGGTTTCCTCCTCCAGTCCAAACATATGCAGGCTAGGTGGATTGGCCATGTTAAATTGCCCTGTAGTGTTCAGGGATGTGTAGATTAGGTGGGTTATAGGGGCATGGGTCTGGATGGGATGCTCTGAGGGTCAGTGTGGACTTGTTGGGCCCAAGGGCCTTTTTTGCACACCGTAAGGATTCTATGATTCTAACTTAATCAATGTACTTTAGTTATGCATCCTGTACAATGAAACTGATAAGTATCCTTTGTCTAGTTTTCTTAATTGAATAAAATTTGAGGTTGATTGGGAAAAAGGATTTTCAGCTGAGGACCGTAGACTGAAGGAGAAAAGTCATTGGAGCTCCGAATTAAAAGTAAGTTAGGTAAAGACTGAAAATTGACTCTGCTAGGAATTAGAAGTAGCTTAGGTGAAGACTGTCCTACCCCACACCTGCCCTCCTACAGTAATGACCCTAAAGAAGACCTTGATTTTTAAATGAAACGCTTATGAAGAGTTAAGTGGAGGTAATGAGTACACCAATATCCCACTAAGGAAAGAAACCTTAACGTCCTTACCCTGCCTGGCCTTTTGCACCTTAATTTCCTTTTAAAGTGACCCAATGAGTTAATCAGTTGTATCAAATTGTTACCAACATTTTAAGGTGCCCCACAACATCTGTCTTGGAGCATTTAGGAACTAAATGTCAGCCTGGCCAACAATGTCCATGTCCAAAGAACAAAGAAACAAAACTTGTGACTTAAATTGAGAATATCATCGAAAGCAAGCAGCTGAGCTGAGGTGTGCATGTCACTCAAAATCATAACCACATTTGGTCTCTCAACTTCCATTCTTGGTGCCTTTTAAGTTCACCACATGTTGTCATTTGCTAGGCCAGCATTTATTGTCAAATCTTATGCACATTTGTGAATACAACTAAATGGCAACCGAGGCTACTTGGGAGGGCAGATAAAAGTCAACTGCGTTGTTCTGGATCTGGAGTCACATATAGGACACAATGGGTAAAGACAACATATTTTTTTCCCTGAAGGACCCAAGTGAATCAACTAAATTAAAATAATCTGATAGCTTGATGGTCAACATCACTGTTAGCATTTTTGTTGTACTTCAGAATAATTTATCGAATTTAACTCCCAAGGCACTGTGGTGGGATGTCAACCCATGACTCTAGATTACCAGTCCAATTATAAAGTGTTCTGCTATTGCACCCTGGTTTACTTCCCAGAGATCTTTGCTGATCTCCATGCCAGATCTCACAAGAATCTGGATTCAATCTCTCATCCCTGAACCAGCAGAGGAGCTGTGGGGCCCTACATAGTTTGGACATCAGTGCTAATAAGCTAACAAACTCAGTATAAACCTGCATTTAGCAACCTTGCGAGCTGTGTTACCCAGTTAATTGGAGGATTTGTGTTTCAAGCATGCCCAGGGTCACTGGCTTTCAGTTGTCACAGGAAATCCATTCATTTAACAGAATAATTTAACATTTCGCCACTCTAAACCAGTAGCCTTGGTCATGCATAATGCCTATTCATTCAGACAATGAAGTCTTCAATCTATATTACTTGTTATGCACTTTGCTAAACTGGCTGAAATCAGACAGTTGCAACCCTGCAGGAAGGGCTCGTCACATACACTGTCACCTTTAGTCACCTGAGAGTCTGTGAATAATGGCGACTGCTATATGCACAGTCCTTTGCATTCCAGAAAGCAACCTATCTATTATATCGTTATATTGTATCCTGGACGTCCTGCTGATTTACCAAAATACACGAGAGTATAATGCGTACTGGATTGCTGTCAAGAAGGTGTGCAATGTTAATCTTTCATTCCCAGGACAAAATCTAGCAGGCATTTCCTAAACAAGTTTTAAGACTGAGCATGCCCAAAGACAAGAGTCAAGATCACCCTATCTGCTCCTCAAACTCCTCTCCCTAACTGCTGGGACAGATTTAAACTACACAGTTCCACAGTTGGTGTGAAAATTATAATCTCTGTCCATGCAAACACCTCTTTTGCAGATATATACAAACACACATGTTAAGGAGCAAAAGAAGCACACCAGCATAAAATAACTGGCAGAATATCGAGAGCATAGAGGGTTTAATAAACGAAACAAGTCTTCACAGCCAAGGTTAATTTTGGGGAATACAAGATTTATGTACTACCTTCTGTCCTGCGCCACACAATTTGATCAGAGTTCCTGGCAATCACAGCCAGGAGGTAAGGCACAAAGCAGAGGTTGACAGCATGTTTGCAAGCTCCATTTCTGCCTCTCCCTCCCCCAAATAAAACACAGAAAAATATTGTAATGGGAGGAATGTTAGAATCTGTTTATTGGAAGAATATAATTCGGCTTCTTTAACTCTTGTACATCTGCGTTTTGATTTGAAATAATACAAGATAACTGTGGGACAATGAAGTTTGAACCGGCGAGCCTAGACCTGGTGGTCCAAAAATGAAATATGGCACAATGAACAAATAAAGATTAGCAAATAGACTGTTATAAAGCAAGTTATTTACAGGAGTGTTGCACCTTTAAAGTGCAAAGCTGCCACTTTAAAATTTAATTTAAAAAACTTACACCCTTCATTGCCCCAGCAAGTTAATTGAGTGAGTTAAGTGAACTGTATATAACAATGGGATTGGGTTGTTATTTGTCTCATCTAGTCTATGTCAAGTTTGGAATGGCAACTGGAGTTGCCCTTGCAGCAGTAGACTGAAGGGCCCCATACCTGAATTGTGCAGCAGCTCCAATGAGATGGGCATGCAGGCGATAAGGAATCGGCTTGGCTATGACACTCACAGTTCAAGAACCAGATGCTAACCATGCTTTCCTTCCTCATGCAAACCACGAGTGTCAACTTGGGTGAGGTATCAGGGGGAAGATTGAAGTCTCCAGGCACTGACAGAAAGACTACCTAAAGGGAGTTGACAACTTTGAGAAGGAATTAAACAGAGAGGAATAGAGAGGTATTCACTGGGGTTGGGTTGGGGAGGGGAAGCTCTAACTTGAATTTATACAGGGCTTTATTATGAGCTCAGAAAATCCTGAAGATATTCACAAGCAATAATTTACATCTTCACGGTGCGCCCACCATTATGTCGTAAGGAAGTGCTTTTAGGATGGTAGTGGTGGAGGGAAAAAAAACACTGCTCTTTCACTGGGATACAATACTCCTGTATATAACACAGATAAATCATGGCCTTTAATGGGGTGCGCAAAGAGGATGGATGGGAGTGGTCAAATGGTGTTTCTTAGCGAGCAAGAACTGGCCTGATATTCACTATTCAGTGTTTCTTTATTTGATATCATTAGTAAATAGTAAAGAAAAGTTGGCTTGTTGCAAGTCATACCGCTTGCAGTGCAGCCTCTGGGCCCCGGTCATCATACTCTGTTGCAGCTTTGGTGACAGTCCTTGCTGTGTCTCCTTCGCAAACATTAGAGAGATCTTTTGCTGAAGGTTGCTCTAGGTATTCCAATTCTTTTCCTTGCATTACAAAAAAAAGAGAGAATTTTAAACAATGTATTTTCCCAAGATTCTCGTCTCCTCACTGAATGATGTTTTTACCCAGTGGGAGCGTACAGGTGGTAACTGCCCTCCGAAGCCTACTTCGACTTGCAATTCTGTACATGAGCCAACGTTATACCAAATGATTTCAGTGGTCAAACTATAACTATGAAACAAACCAACAAAATATCAAACTATAAACTTGAGATGGTAAGAACTGCAGATGCTGGAGTCAGAGATAACACAGTGTGGAGCTGGAGGAACACAGCAGGCCAGGCAGCATCAGAGGAGCGAGATGATGCCTGGCCTGCTGTGTTTCTCCAGCTCCAAACTATAAACTTGAAGCTTGTTTGCTGCACCGTGAAACAGAGGTGTGCCATTCAAAACAGAAGAGCTCAGGTTCCTAATCTACAATATTGGGTGATCTCAGAATTGCATGAAATTTTACAGCGGAGAAATATCCAGCTCACCAAGTCTATGACAGCATTTGTACTCCACATGAGCTTCTTTTCACCCTGCATCTCACTTTGGTGAGACCACCTTTGGGATGCTGTGTGGAACTTAGATCTCCAGTGTTCAGGGATGTGTAGATGAGGGTGATGGGTCTGGGTGGGATGCTCTGAGTGTCGGTGTGAACTTGTTGGGCCGAAGGGCCTGTTTCCACACTATAGGGATTCTATAAAATAGATTCTATATCTCCAGGTCAAAGGCAGAAGACAGAGGGTGGTGGTGGAGGGTTGCTTTTCTGACTGGAGACCTGTGACAAGTGGTATGCCACAAGGATCGGTGCTGAGTCCACTGATTTTCATCAATCATATAAATGATCTGGATGTGAACAAAGGAGGTATGGTTAGTAAGTTTGCAAGTGACTCCAAAATTGGAGGTGTACAGGACAGTGAAGAAGGTTACCTCAGAGTACAATGGGACCATGATCAGTTGGGCCAATGGGCCGAGGAGCAGCAGAGGAGTTTAATTTAGATAAATGTGAGGTGCTTCAATTTGGAAAGGCAAATCAGGGCAGGAGGTATACACATAACGGTAAGGTCCTGGGGAATGTTGCTGAACAAAGAGACCTTGGAGTGCATATTCCTTGAAAGTGAAGTTGCAGGTAGACAGGATAGTGAAAGCAGCATTTGATATGCTTACATTTACTGGTAAGCGCACTGAGTATAGGAGTTGCAAGGTCATGTTGCAGCTGGACAAGATATTGGTTAGGCTAGTTTTGGAATACTGTGGCAATTCTGGTCTCCCTGCTATAGGAAGGATGTTGTGAAACTTTAAAGGGTGCAGAAAAGATTTACAAGGATGTTGCCAGGGTTGGAAGGTTTCAGCTATAGGGAGAGACTGAATAGGCTGGGGCTATATTCCCTGGATTGTTGGACGCTGAGGGTTGACCTTATAGAGGTTTATAAGATCACGAGGGGCATGGGTAGCGTGAATCTACAAGGTCTTTTTCCCAGTGTGGGGCGGAGGAGTCCAAAACTAGACAGCGTAGATTTAATGTGAGAGGGGAAAGATTTAAAAAGGACCTAAGGGGCAAGATTTTCACACGGAATGAGCTGCCTGGGGAAATGGTGGAGGCTGGTACAATTTCAACATTTTAAAGTTCTGGATGGGTATATGAATAGGAAGGGTTTGGAGGGATATGAGCCAAATGCTGGCAAATGAGACTAGATTTATTTAGGATCTCTGGTTGGCACGGACGAGTTGGACTGAAGAGTCTGTTTCCATGCTGTACGAGTCTAAGGAAGGATACATTTGCCATGGAAATGGAAAAGTGAACGTTCATCAGGGTTGTTGCTGCTGTCACTGGGTTATTCCAAGAGAAACTGGGAAATCTAGTACAAGGACGCACAGTCTCCGGAAATGGGGTTTATTATTTAGGACTGCCAGGAGGAGAAATTTTTTCAATCAGTGGGTTTGAATCTACGGTAGTGTCTACTCATCAGGACTATAGATGCTCCATCAATGAGTACACACTGTAGGCTGAGATTATCAAATGTTTTATCCCTCAAGGAATCAAGGGATAATGGGAGCGAGCGGTAAAGTAGAACTGAGGCAGAGGATTAGTCATGATTTTAATAAATGGTGAACGCTTGAGGGGCCATATGTTCATCCTATCAATGTAACATTCTAAGATCACGACCCTACCTAGCTACTTGTTCAGTGCATCCATTTGCATGAAGTCCACGCACTGACAAGCTCCAGTTTCTAACAACTCTTGAGATAAAAAGGCCAACAGTTGGGTCTACAGCCAAAGTCCATCTGATTCTCACCACATGGATGCACACAATGGAGTTGCCTGATGTCTACACACCATGGACAATAGGCTGAGATCAGGAGTGACAGCACTGGCAGTAATTTTCCCCAACAGCTCACAGGTGCTAAAGACCTTACTGCAGCCAGCTAACTTAACACAGAACAGAAACTGGACCCAAGATAGTTTTGATCTGCACAGCTCAGTTTTTACAGAACAGTAACAGTACAGCACTTCAAGACACCTGGTAAAACATATTCAAGTTACGTCAATACACATGAAAAAATTCCAATTCAGCAGACCAAACAAGGACACAAACTATTTTTAACCGCTCACCTGAGGTAGATGCTCCATGAGGCTCCCGCTGGGTAGTGTGTATCTCCATTTTCTCTTGTTGGGCTTTTTTCTCCTGCTGTGCGTCCCATTCTTGCAACTCCTTCTCAAACTTTCGGTTGTCATCCCTTACATACTCTTTCAAATCGCATGGTAAGGTGTTCATTCCAGTCAATACCTGACCAGTTTCCTTATCGAACTCCTCTACAACAGCCATGGAGAAGAATGTTTAAATATATAACCTGTACGTTAGATAGCAAAAAGCAGGCTTTAAAAATTCATTTGCATATCTGGGAGGCGATGGCCTAGTGGTATTATCACTGGGCTGTTAATCCAGAGATCCAGATAAAGTTCTGGGAACCTGGGTTCAAATCCTGCAATGGCAGATGGTGGAATTTGAATTCAATAAATATCTGGAATTAAGAATCTATGATGACCATAAATCCATTAGCGATTGTTGGTAAAACCCGTCTGGTTCACTTATGTCCTTTAGGGAAGGAAACTACGATCCTTACCTGGTCTGGCCTACATGTGACTCCAGACCCACTGCCCATGTGGCTGACTCAAACAGCCCTCTGTGGTAATTACGGTCGGATAAGAAATGCTGGCCTAGCGGTGTCCTCATCCCGTGAATGAATTAAAAAAGGAAGGTCTTCCCTTAAAGGGCATTTATGGAATTCTTTACTGCAGAAGGCTGTTGAGGCTGGATTGCTAAGGCTAAAATAGACAAATTTTTAATCTGTAAGGGAATCAAGGGTTATGGGGAAATGGAAAGTGGGAGTTGAGGATTATCAACTCAGTCATTATTTCAGTGAATGGTAAAGTGAACTTAATGACCTACTTCTGTGCCTATCTTATGAAGTTATGGTCAATGTATCCCAGCTAAGGTGTGGTGCACAGAATTGCTCAATGTATTCCTGGAGTGATCTAGCCAGGGCATTGTCTAACTGAACCATGACTTCAACCCCTTTATTTTCTAATTCTTCCAGAAGGGCTGGTGGAAGAAATTAATATTAATAGCAATATTGTTCTGGCAGGTGGTCAATCACCAGAGGATATAAATTTAAGGTAATCAGCAAAATGCTAGAGGGGAATGGGAGGAGAAAATTTTTAAGGCAATGACTTATTTTGATCTGGAATGCATCACCTGAAAGATTCATGGATACAGTGACTTTCAAAAGAGAACTGGATAAAGGCATGAAAAAGACACAGGTGCCAGACTGTAGGAAAAGATCAGGGGAAATCAGACTAATGGCGAGAGGAGCACAGACAGGATAAATAGGAAGAAACTTTTCTCTTTCATGGAGGGATTAATGACCGGGGGCATAGGCTTAAGGTAAGGGCAGAAGGTTTAGAGAAGATATGAGGAAAAACTCTTTTTATCCAGTGGGTGATGGGAATCTGGAACTCACTGCCCATAAAGGTGGTAGAGGCAGAAACCTTCATGACATGTGATGCCCAGATATATAAGGATATGGGTCAAGTGCTGAAAAATGGGATTAGAACAGTTTGGTGGTTGTTTTTGACTGGTACAGACATGATGGGCAGAAGAGCCTCTTTCTGTGCTGTAAACCTGTATCAATCTATGACTCTTTCATAATGGTTTGACTGGCCTTCTTCTGTGCTATATGATCCTATGAGCAGAAACAGAGGCATAACAGAAGCCAGGGATACTCAAATCATATCATCTCAAAATAAAAAGTAGCAATCCACCTCAAAGGTTTTCCGCATATTACACACATTACATGTAAAAGACAAGTTTGGAGCAAATGAAAGTACCTTCTATTAAATATCGCTCCGTGTCATTTATGTACATTAAACAGTATGCACTAGCATTTCTGTAACCTCCAAAGGAATCGCGTTCTAGCTCCTCCCAGGAGGATTTGGTAACAGCTATGTCGTTGTACTTCATCCACCTCCCTTGGTGGTGATCATGGATGTAGGCCCAGTAATGCCCAGCATTAGCCTGACCTTCATGGACCAAGACTGCATGCAATCGGTAAGGAACCTAGAGCACAAAAGCAAGATTGGGTCAATAAAGATTCACTATAGTGAAGAGCGTAAGTACGCATAAACTCCATAAGCTGATGCTGTGGCTTCAAAAATGCATTAAAATTTGTCAAATCTGCACTCCATTGTAACAATCTATTTTAAATTGACACCTTACAGCAAAATACACACAAATTTCAAAAACATCACTTTTCAACTCAGTTCATATTTCATCAGATCAGTTTTAATGACTAGATGCAGCTAAAATGTTATCCTCTCTTGAGAGAGTGACAAACCAGCCCACTGCTTTTATTTCAGAGTTCCCACTTTTGGCATTTCCCTGCTGGTTACAAAACCACCTGCAGAATAATGCAACTCAACGCAGTTGGCTCTGACCTATCCAACCCACTTCTTCAAACAGCAGATGGCCTGAACCTCAGTTAAAACCACACAGCTCTGATGATTTACCTGCATCATGGTCTTGTCAGTGTACATCAGATCAATTGTGCGGTGAAGCCTGGCGATGCTCTCTTGTAGATCTGGAAAAAAATGCCCAAAATTGAGACTGGCACCTTGAAACAGGACACCCCAATAGGGACAAGGTGAGAAATGTGAACAAACACGAACAATGCCTGTGAAATATTTAAGAAAATGATAACTGGCTAAGTTTGGAGAACATGCTTAAAAATGAATCAAGGTTTGACTACTGAGTTATGGCTAGCCAAAAATAAAAATAAACAATAGTACAGCACAGGAACAGGCTCTTCAGCCCACCAAGCCTGTGCCAATTCCTAATCCTTACTTAAGCCCACTACTTATTGCCCATACGTGGTTTCTATCCCTCTGTTTGCCTCCCGTCCATGTGTCTATCAAATTATGTCTTAAACGTTGTTAACATGCCTGCTTCCACCACCTCCACTGGCAGTGCATTCCAGGCACCCACCACCCTCCATGAAAAATTTTCCCCACACTTCTCCCTTAAACCTTCCCCCTCTCACCTTGAAACTGTGCACTTTTGTAGTTGACCTTTCCACCCTGGGAAAAGCCTTCGACTATCTACCATATCTATGCCTCTCATAATTTTGTAGCCCTCTGAGGATGTAGACTTGCTCGTCAAGCCAGTGTGTTTGGTTGCAGACGTTTCGTCACCCTGCTAGGTAAGATCGCAGTGCGCCTCTGAAGTGTTGGTGCTTGTCCCGCTTGTTATTTATATGCCTCGGTTTGCTGGGGTGATTGGCATCACTTCTGGTTCTGTTTATCAGTGGTTTGTATATCGGGTCCAGTTCAAAGTGTTTGTTGATGGAGTTCTGGTTGGAATGCCAGGCCTCCAGGAATTCCCTGGCATGTCTCTGTTTGATTTGTGCTATTTTGAACGTGCTGTCCCATTTTGTGTCCTTCTTTGTCTGTGCGTATTCAGACCAGTGAGAATTAGTTGTGCCTCTTGGTGTCTAGTTGGTCTATCAGGTCACCTGTCAGCCTCTATCTTTCCCATGAAAACAATATGAGTTTATCCAAACTCTCCACATGCCTGAAACCCTTCAGACCAGGCAACTTCCTGGTAAATGTTCTCTGCACCCTCTCCAAAGCATCCACGTCCTTCTGGTAGTGTGGCGACTAGAATTGCACGCAATATTCCAAATGTGGCCTAATTAAAGTTTTATACAACCGTAACATAACTTGCCAACTTTTATATTTGATGCCCCGGCTGATGAAGGCAAGCGTGTTATATGCCTTCTTGACCACCTTTTATTTTTATTCATTCATTCATGGGATGAGGGGCGTCACTAGCTAGGCAGCATTTATTGCCCATTCCTAATTGCTCAGAGGGCAGTTAAAAGTCAACCACATTGCTGTGGGTCTGGAGTCACATCTCCTTATCCATCTGTGTTGCCACTTTCAGGGATCTGTGGACCTGTACGCCCTGATCCCTCTGTATGTCAATGCCCCTAAGGGTTCTGCCATTTATTGTATTTCACACCTGAATTTGATCTTCCAAAAATGTATCACCTCGCATTTGTCTGGATTAAACTTCATCTGCTATATCTCTGCCCAAATCTGCAATTTATCTATATCCTGCTGTATCTCTTGACAAGTTTTCCTGGCTGCATTATTGCAACGCCACCAATTTTTGTGACATTTGCAAACTTAGTAATCAGACCACCCACATTTTCCTCCAGATCGTTTGCACATATTACAAACAACAAAGGTAACAGCACTGATCCCTATCGAACACAACTAGTCACTAATCTCCATTGTGGAAAGCACATTTCCACCACTACTCTCTGACTTCTATGAACAAGCAGTTCTGTATCCAGCTAGCCAGCTCACCCCAGATCCTACAAGACTCTACCTTCTGTACCAGCCTGCCATAAGGTATCTTATCAAATGCCTACCAAAGTCAATATAGATAACATCCACTGTTCTTCCCTCATTAATCAGTCTTGTCACCTCCTCAAAAATACTCAATCAAGTTGGTGAGACATGACCTTCCCCGCACAAACCCACGCTGCCTGTCACTAACAAGTTCATTTGATTCCAGATGTGAATAAATCCTGTCTCTCATTATCATCGCCAACAGATTCCCCACAACTGACGTCAGGCTCACCGGCATATGATTACCTGCATTATCTCCATTCCTCTGGAACCTCGCCTGAGGCCAAAGAGGATATAAAGGTATCTGTTAAGGCCCCAGCTATTTCCTTTCTTGCCTCCAACAGTATCCTGGGATAGATTCCATTTGCCCCTGGGGACTTGTCTACCTTAATGTATTGCACCCAACACTTCCTCATTCATTATGCTGACATGCTTGAGAGTATTCACACACCTTTCCCTAACCTCAACATCCCTCATGTCCCGCTCTTTTTGGCGAATGTCGTCGTAAAGTACTTATTAAGGATCTCACCCATTTCCTCTGGCTCCACGCATAAACCCCTCCTTTATACTTGAATGGGCCTACTCTTTCCCCACTTATCCCTTTGCTCCCAATATATTAATGAAATGGCTTAAGATTCTTCTTAACCCTGGTGGCTGAGGAGATCTCATAGCCTCTTTTAGCCCCCATGTTGAGCTCCTTCCTAGTTTAACTATATTCTTTAGAGATGTCACCTGTTTTTTAGTTCCCTAGACTTTAGGTGCACTTCCTTTTTTTTGACTGAGCTGATAATTTCCTCATCATCCAAGGTTCCCGAATCCTGCCATTCTTGTCCTTCATTTTCACAGGAACGTGCCTGTCTAATCAACTAGTCTTTAAAAGACTCCCATGTATCAGATGTGGATTTATCCTCAAACAGCTGCTCCCAAACCACATTGTCCAATTCTTGCCTAATTTGGTTAGAGTTGGCCTTCCCTCAACTTAATACCTTCATCCAAGGTCTACTCTTATCCTTATCCATAAGTATCAGAAAATATACAGAATTATGGTCACTATTCCCAAAATACTCCCCACTGAAACTCTGAACACCTGGATGGGTTCTTTCCCAATACCAGGTGCAGAATGGCCCCCTTCCTCATTGGACTATCTATATACTGTTTCAAAAAACCCTCCAGGACACACCTAACAAATTGTTCCCCATCCAAACCCTGGCACTAGGGAGTCCCACTCAATATGGGGAAGTTAAAATCATCCACCATAACAACCCTATTATTTTCACATCTTTCCTGGATCTGACAACATATCTCTTTGTCTATTTCACGCTGGCAAGTCTGTAGTACAAACTCAGTATTGTGATTGTACCCTTCCTATTCCTGAGCTCTAGCTATAATGCGGCATTGCAAGATACCTCCAGGGATGTCCTCCCTCAGCGCAGCTGTGATATGTTCCCTAACCAGTAATGCAACTCCCTCACCTCTTTTGCTTCCTCCTCTGCCTTCTTAAATATCAATATCCAGGAGCACTAAGCTGCCAATCCTTTTCTTCTTTCAACCATGTGTTCGTGGTAGCAACATAATCATAATGGCATGCATTAACCCAGGCGCTAAATTTATCTGTCTTAGCTGTTATACGTCTTGCACTGAAGCAAATACAGTCCAAGCCTCCTGATTTCTCTTTCTCTTTGCTATATTTCCTTAGTCTCAAGCTCTTCCTTATTCTCTATACTTACTAACCTGCTGCTTCGGTTACCACTCCCCTGCCAAACTAGTTGAAACCCTCCTGATTGGCACTATCAAGCCTCCCTGCCAGGATATTGGTGCCCCTCCTGTTTAGGTGCAACCCATCCTTCTTGTGCAGGTCCCACCTTCCCTGGAAGATATCCCAATGATCCACATATCTGAAGCCCTCCCCCCTACACCAGCTCTTTAGGCACGTGTTCAATTGTACCAAGTCTCTATTCCTGGCTTCAGTAGGGCGTGGCATAGGGAATAATCTAGAGATTGCTACTCTAGAGGTCCTGCTTTTTAGTTTACTACCCAACTTCCTGATTTGTCGTTGCAGAACCTTGTCATTCTTCCCACTCATGTCACTTGTGCCAACGTGGGCAATGACTTCGTCTGTTTACCCTCCCATTTCAGGATGCCCCGTATCCCACTCAGAGATATCCATGATCCTGGCACCATATTTGTGCCCCTGAGTATCACATCTCCAATTACTATCACTTTGTGCTTTGTCCTTTCCCTCTGTATGGCAGGGCTAGCCATGGTGTCACTGCTTTGGGCACTGTTGCTACGGTCACCTGATGGGCCACCCCCCTCATCAGTATCCCAAACAAAATACTTGTCTGGGGGGGTGGGGACAGCTACAAGTGACTCCTGCACTGACTGCCTGTCCCAGATGCAGGCACCCTCCATCTTCCTGTACCTTGGGTGTGACCACGTTTCTATTACTTCTATCTATGATGCTCTCTGACATTTGTGTGCTCCTTAGTGCCTCCAATTGCCACTCAAGCTGCCCCATTCATTCAGTGAGCAGTTGAAGCTGGGTACACCTCCTGCAGATGTAATTATCAGGGATGCTCTCAGCATCCATGACTGACCACATCTTGTAGGTAGAGCAGAAAACCTCAGTAGCTGAGTCAATCAATAAAATTGTTCGCTTCACCCATTTGTCCAGGAAATTGCAGTGGTCACTGTGTGTGTGTGCGAGCCTCAACACTGATTGTTCACAGGCTACTTGAGCAGACAGAACATTACATTCCAACACAATGCTATCATCACATAATAAACGTGTAAGAAATAAGCACATAAAGGAGTTACTGTTAATGATTGTTAGGACTGATGCCAATTGCCAGCTTAAATCTACAAAATCAGCATCAAAATGTTACTACGGCTTGACTGTCTCAAGTTTGAATTCAAATAAGTGTTCCACTCCCCTGCACCAACATCCTTCCCAAAAGAAAATTAAATCACAAATACCAGTCCATCACCATCTGGAAACAGGCTAAAGACATATTGGCACCCATCAGAACATGCTTGTGCTCCAACTAATGCCTTGATTTAAGTCACTAAGCTGTTTGTTCTATTAGAGGAGTCAACAATTATTGGGAATGGGCAGGAAAGTGCAGCTGAGGCCAAAGTCAGGTCAGGTCTGGTCATATTGGATAGTGGAGCAGGCTCGAGGGGTTGTGCCATGTACTTCACATTTCAAGTATTTCTTTGTTTCTTCAGATCCCGGGAAACCTACTGTTCACTGCTAACGTTTTCTAGCTTTGGATTTTCAGGATTTTCTGCTCTCAAATGAGTAGCACAAAAATCAATATGACATTAAAATTATGGCACCAATGGGAGAGGTCATGAATTAACTGTCTCATTGTGGGGAAATCCAAAAGAGTTATATTTAATTGCTTTACTCAATCAGCCAAGCTCGTTACTCCTCCAATACTCTGAGCTTTCCAAATACATTCATTCATTAAATAAAAACCGAAAGAACTGCAGACGCTGTAAATCAGGAACAAAAACAAAGTTGCTGGAAAAGCTCAGCAGGTCTGGCAGCATCTGTGAAGGAGAAAACAGAGTTAACATTTTGGGTCCGATGACCCGAGTTCTGAGGAAGGGTCACCGGACCTGAAACGTTAACCCCACATTTATTCATTATCCTCATTGAGCCTTTTCAATTCTTTCATTGGAAATAAGTAAAACATCAGTGGTGAGGAAATGAATGAAATTAGGGATTGACAGATCCCTGGGACCTGACAGTTTCTATCCGAGTGTGTTAAAAGGAAGCAGACAGCACATCATAGATGACCTAACTATAATCTTTCAGAATTCCCTAGATAGAGGAGTCCATCCCTCTGTAATGGCATTATTCCAAGTCACTTTTTTTTTTAAGAAGGGCAAATTACAGCCCACTTAGTTCGGCCCAACAAGTCCACACCGACCCACCCCCTACCCTACAACCCTACATTTCCCATGGTTAAACCACCTAACGTACACATCCCTGGACACTATGGGCAAATTAGCATGGCCAAACTACCTAACCTACACATCTTTGGACTGTGGCAGGAATCCGGGGCACCCGGATGAAATCAACAGACACGGGGAGAATGCGCAAAATCCACAGTTGCCTGAGGCTGGAATTAAACCTGGGTCCCTGGCGCCGTGAGACAGCAGTGCTAATCACTGAGCCTCAGGCAATGTTCCTCTATAGAATCACAAATCCCCACAGTGTGGAAGCAGGCCACAAGCAGGAAGTGTTAGATTTTGGGGGGTCAAGTGCAAGCAGAAAGGATGCACTCAATGGTAGAACCCTTAGAAGCATCAAAATACAGAGGGATCTTGTTGAGCTAGTTTACAGCTCCCTTAAATGGCAACCACAAGGTGATAAAGGCAGTATACTTCGGTTGGGGTATTGTAAAGAAGTTGGCAAGTCAAGTTCTAACTGTAGAAGACTTTAGCTGGGCCACATTTGAAGTAATGTGTACAGTTCTGGTTGCCACACTAAAGGAAGGATGTGGAGGCTTTGGAAAGAGTGCCAAAGAGGTTAACTAGGATGGCAAGAACTGCGGATGCTGGAGTCAGAGATAACACAGTGTGGAGCTGGAGGAACACAGCAGGCCAGACAGCATCAGAGGAGCAGGAAAGCTGATGTTTCAGGTCGGGACCCTGGATTGGAGCATATTAGCTACAAGGAGAGGTTGACAAACTTGGATTGTTTTCACTAGAGCATTTAAGGCTGAGGAGTTTCCTGATAAAAGTATACAAAATTATAAAAGGCACGGATAGGATGAATAGTTGGAGACGTTTTTCCCCCAGGGTGGAAATATCAAATATTAGGGGGTATAGGTTTAAGGTGAAGGAGGAATATTTCAAGGAGATGTGAGAGGAAAGTTTTTTCACACAGCAGGCTGTAGATGCCTGCAACATACAAGGTGGTAAAACCAGATAAATTAGCAAAGTTTAACAGGCATTTGGATGGATGCTTGAGCAGGCAGGAAATAGAGGGATAGAGACCATGTGTAGGCAGATGGGGTTAGTTTAGAATGGCATCATTTTGTAGGCACAAATATGGTGGGCCAAAGGGTCTGTTCTGTCTGTTCTACCATCTAATCAAAGTCTTCAAGTTGTTAACAGGAAGACAGGGCAGGTAAAAATCAACTATTTCCACTGGTTGGGGATTCTAGAACTAAGGGGTACAGTCTGGAAAGTGTAAATAGACAAGTTCTTTTCCCCAAAGTGGGTTTCTTTTTATTGGGGGGGGGGCGCGGGTGGCGGTGAGAGGGGAAAGATTTAAAAGACGCCTAAGGGGCAACTTTTCCCACACAGACAGTGGTGCATGTATGGAATAAGCTGCCACAGGAAGTGGTGCAGGCTGGTACAATTATAACATTTTAAAGGCGTCTGGATGGATTTGAGAATAGGAAGGGTTTAGACGGATATGGGACAAATGCTGGCAAATGGGACTAGATTTATTTAGGACATTTGGTCAGCATGGACAAATTGGACCGAAAGGTCTGTTTCTGTGCAGTACATTTCTATGATTCTACAATTAGGGTCAAACCATTCAGGAGAGATGTTAGGAAGCACTTCTACACACAATGGGTGGGAGAGGTTTGGTACTCTCTTCCACAAACGGCAGTGGATGCTGGATCAATTGTTAATTTTAAATCTGAGACAAATAAATATTTATCAAGCAAAAGTCTTAAAGGAATGGGCCAAAGGTAGGTTTACTGAGTTAGGCCACAGATCAGCCATGATCTCACTGAATGGAGCAACAGGCTGAAGAGGCGGAATGGCCTACTCCTGGGACAGCAACACTGCTCATCCAAAACTGTCCTCGAGGTGGTGGTGATGGGGGCCTTCTTTAACTGCTGCAGTCCATGTTGTTATGGTGAGTGCTTTGGTTGGGATTTTGCAGGTGGTGGTGCTCCCATGCATCTGCTACTTTCGTCCTTCCAGTTGGTAAAGTTTGCAGGTTTTGGAGAATTTTGTCAAAGGAGTCTTGGTATACCCTGCTGACATTGTGCATATGTGATGAAGGGACCAATTTTCGAAGGTGATGGATGGGAGGCTAATTAAACAACTTGCTTCTGCTCAATGGTGCTGAACTTCATGAGTATTGTTGGAGCTGCACATATCTTGACAGGTTTTCTTAAAAAAAATTATTGCCCATCCCTAAATGCCCGAGTACAGAGGGCAGCTAAAATGCATATTACTGTCACTCTGGAGTCACATATAGGCCAGATATGTACAGGTAAGGACAGCAGACTTACTTCTCTAAAGATTATTAGTGAACCAGATGTTTTTCGTAGATGCCATTAGGCTAGCTTTCAATTTCTTTTAAGCTTTTTAATGCTTTTTTTATTGATCCAGATTTTACCACCTGTGTGGTGGGATTCTAACCCATTTCCACAGTGCAGTAGCCTGGGGTTCTGGATTACTAGTCCAGTGATATTACCATGATACCACCATCTCCCCTTATTCTGGTTATAAGATTCTCGTTGGTCTTCACCAAACCCTGGTCTTCTCCAGACCCCAAGAGGGAGGGGAAAAAGATCAGTAACTTTGCTACTTCAGCCTCTATGAGAAGGTAATTCCTCTACATTTGTTAAGTTCAGAAACATTTTTGTTTTGACAGTGACATTATTTACTGACATTCCTGGCCTCATTGTACTCTTGGATACAGCAAGGAAGACTTCTAAATCTGCCCTGATGTTTCGTCTGCCATTTAGAAATTTGGTTTCATGTCATGATTTTTTTCCCTCAATAATACGGAGTTTGCCTTCAGAACTGTTTCTATCCTCGGACACCACTTTCACATCTGGATAGCTTATATTGCAATATATCAAACTTGTGAACATTAATTGCTTCTAGGGTTTACATACTCTGTGCTACAACTTTATCACAATACTATGACCATTATTTCCCTCGACTCTTCACACTGCACAGCCCCAATTACACTATCTACACTATTTCTCCTTCTGCACCCTCACTATAATAAAACATTGATAGACCAGCTTTTAATTTATTTTCTTTGGAACATGGGCCATATTGGTAAGGCTGTGGTAATGCAGGCGGTAAGGCACGCATTCTCTTCTATGCCGTGATAGTTCTGGCAGTGATGGAATCCCCAGAATTCCTTTCCCTGGATGTGACTGACCATCTCCAGTTTCTTGGAGAACCACTCTGTTTGGGACAAGGGTACTGTAAGTCAAGTGGGGTAAAAGTGGCAAAGTCCCGTCCATGAACAGCATTCATGAATTATTCAAGTCTTTACAACAATTTGCAGGTATTACAGCTATCTTCTAGAGCTGTCTGAAAATTGACAGAATTATTGAATTTACAATTTTGCAATTTACTGTGATTAATTTGAATTCTAGATTACAAACTCAACACAATGCACTCTGTACCTTCGTGCTTCTCCAAAATCTCTAGGTCCTGAAATACTGCAGCACTTCCTTCCTTATAACACCTAAAGGCATACAGAATCACCGAATGGTGATCTAACCAAGGGCCTTACCTTCCTTCCAAGCTCCTCAGCACATCATTGAACAACAGAGCTATCACAATGTAACGTCAATCGGTTTTGCAATTTTTATTCAGAAGTAACGCAGAGGAGAGAGATTCAGAACAGGGGTGGGGATCAAGGAAGCCATACCTCTAGTGTCATTCTCCACCTCCATCCTCCAGCGATGCAGACAACCCTCCAACACTCTCAACTCATCCTCTGTGATGTGGCGCGGTGCAGGATGCATGGGAATTTCTGGTGGGACCCTCGACTGCGTGAAAGGTTTGTGAACTACGGACCGCTGAAGAGGGGGTGTGCAGGGTGCATCTGTGGCTGCCAAGGGTCCTTGATCCATTGGGCTACTGGCACATTTTGGTCAATGAAACAAGGATCGTTAGTTAATCTCTTCAAATATTTCTGCAAATATCCTTAACAACTAAATCCATGCAGATTCTGCATTCCAGAAGATACTTTGTTAAGAGTTCAGCTACTTCCTTAGCTTAAATGAAAAATAATTTGAGGCTTATCTTGAAATACGCAATATCACCATTCAAACTCTATTAAAGTCCTTGTGAAATCTGACAAGTGTGAGGAGCGCAGATCCCTTTAGATAATTTTAATCAACATGTTTGGACATTTTATGAAACATCTCTGGAACAGGTTGGATCTGAACCTTTTGGCTCAGAGTTAAGGACATTATCACGGTGCCACAAGAAATCTCTAAGTGCAAGTCCCTTTAGAGGTAAAGCAGATCAGATGCAGAGTTGATTGAGAGCAGGTAAAGGTAAAGTTGCCATCGTCTTAGCAGACCACGGGGTTGCTGTCTCATCAGAGAGAGACAACAGGTTGTGGTTTAACCTGAGGGTCACTGCATGACAGGCAAGGGGAGAAATTTAGAAGGAAAGTCTTTCATTGTAACCTCAGCTGGTGTGGGAATTTAACCCACTCTGTTAGCATCACTCTGCATTGCAAACATCACTAACTGTGCTAAGCCATGATGTACAATAAAACACTTGTAAATGTCAGTCTTTTGCTGTCTGATTCCACATTTGGGTATTGGTCTGTTAGAGTTGGCTGATTTTCCCAAAATTTATTATTAATCCTTGAAATGCAGCTCTCATTCTACAATCCACAGAACAATATGGCTGAGAAAGGGAGGGGAAAGCAGAATAGATGCATGTCCCATCTTTGCTGCTCTACATGCATCATATCTTGAGGTGCCAATATGCTTTCTTTACTTAAAGAGGAGCACATTGAGTACTTTTAACATTGTATTAGCAAAGTGAAAACTGAAAACATGTCGTACATTCAGCAGCAAGGGGTTTAGCACATGCTCTTTGTCTCAATGCTAATTTATACAGAACATCCAGCTTTATATACAAACCTCTCTTGCCTCACTGTTGTCTGAGGCGCTGTGGTGCTGTTGGGAGGAGCAGTTTCAACATCATCCACTGGCGATGTACACACAGGCTTACTAGAGGCAAACTCCAAGGCATATTGGAGAACATCAGCCAATGGAAATCGCTTGGGACCTGAACCATAGCTTAAATACCTGGGAAGAGATAAAAAGAGGCAATGGAATAGGGAGAAGTGGAGAAAGGGAGCGGGAAAAGTGGAGAAAGGGAGCGGGAGAAGTGGAGAAAGGGAGCGGGAGAAGTGGAGAAAGGGAGCGAGAG